CCCAAACCCAGTAATTCAGGTATTTACCATTGGTGGTTCGGCGGCCTACAGATGGATTTTTAGCGGTTGATGGATGGATGGGCTGGGGCTGCTTGCAGTGCTTTTGGAGCTCCCGGGATGGATGATGGATTGTGGAACTGAGGATTATGATGTATGTTGTGTTTTTGGCTTCTTTGGGAAGGGGGGGTGTTTTTTTATGGTTGAAATGGGGAATTGAAACATTTCAAGGGAGCAATTGGGTGATTGGTGCAAGCTTGGTAAATGGGATTTTATGGGGATATGATAGGGTTTATTGTTACTTGATGTGGTTGTGGGATATATGGTGTATATATATATATAGTTCTTGATATGATGGATCGTCTAAAAGTATGTATGTATTTGGGAAAGTTCAAGAAAATGAAAAAGCTGATCTCAACACGGCAAATTCACCACATAAAAGTTACCTAGCCCTCAAACCTAAAACCAGATACTCACTGCGCCGTGCAGAGGCTCAGGAGTCAGAATGAGCAGAGCGGATGAGGATCATTTCCCCGCGATGGATATGAGATTGTCTCAATTGTTGCCGACCAAAACGTGGAAATGGCTAGCTAAATACGAATATCTTGAGACTTAAGTATATATGATGATGTATGTATATAGGTTTTACCCGCTACAAGCCAACGCAGAGGAAAAGAGATCTGAGCTATGGAGTTAATCGAAATGAAGTTTTATTTCCTCGTGATGGATGGATGATCTACAAAATCCCGAGGTTGAAGTTTCCTTCACCGCTGTTAATGTTGATGGTAGATGGATGTATGTTTTGAGATGAGGTGGACCGTCTGGACGCGTTTATTTTTATTTTTTTTGTTTTATTTTCTGGCTACTTCCATACTCTCCATCGCTAAGATTTCGTTTCAACCGGCCAATGCGCCACATATGTGTTGCTGTTTTTCTATAATCTGGATGGTGCTGCAAAGAAGTTGAGGCTGCACATTCGTATGTATATGATTGCGGTGCCTCATGGCCGCTTGTGACAATGCCCTTGATGAAACCAAAGGTAAGGCTCATTTGATGGATGGCCCCGCCGAAGATTTAATAAATGGATAATAATAAAAAATACAGAGTAGAGTAGAAAAATGGGAAAGAATAGTAATGAAAAATGATGTTGCAGAAAAATCACTGCAAATAGATTTGTGTGTACTGTGGGCCATTGGGATTTCACCCGGAACTTTTGACACAAGAGTTGTACGGTTGGACCAATAGTTGACAGAGTGGATACTGCACAAAGATGGGGAGCCCAACTTCAAATGAGAGGTTCCTCCACATTATTCGGGAGATTCGGTTAGGATAATGACACCGTTTGATATGGGTAATGGAGCGGGAGCAATGTAAATGTGTTTGTCGGTTGGTATACAAGGGAGATAGATGGTAATTCTTACTTTGAACGGGGACGGGGAACGGCAGAGAAGAAGGATGTCATATGCACGTATGTAAGAAGGTCTAACGCTTTCGGCAATTACAAATTCAATTTTCTCAAAGAAGATCTCGGTGAGATATAATGTCATTGCGAAGTAAAAGTTAAGAGATGGATAGTGGGGGATTGAGATTCCTAAGAATGAAACCCCTGGTTAATATGTTTGCATGCGATCGATGCGATTGTACAATGTCGGAGCTCGCAACCAGAGTAGACGCGAGGCGAAATGGGATGGATTTTATGGGTGGGATGAGTGAAGACGGTGATGGCCATGGCTGTATCCTGTTACCTGTGTCTTTATGGTGGGTTACTCAGGGGCAATGCAGATGCGAATGCAGTATGAAATGGGCTGCACGAACGCCTTGGAGTGAAGCATTGAATGGAGCCTTACCATAGAGCTGAAGTGCAGGAAGGTTGCTGATGGTTGCATCAGATATCTGTAGCTCTCAGCCATACAAATATAGTAAGTAATGTAGGTACCAACAGTTGGAAACATGGGACGAAGGATGGAGGATACCTACCTACTTTAAAGGCCCCCAGGACCCAAAATGAGGCGAGGTTGTTTTGTAGAGAGTAGGTAATGCAAAATGATCAGGCAAATACCTTGTGATATCTCTCGATTGGGGGCTAAAAGTTGGGATAAAAATAACTATGGGGGTTCATTTGGTAAAGGGACGGACCTTTTCTTTTCTGCAACATGTACAACCCTCTTTTCCACGAGGTTTGAGGGATGTAGCTTCGACACCATGAACACTGTAACTTAGGGCCGGGTTTCGAATTCTGGCTAATATGATATATGACACTTTTGGCCTAGAGAGGTTCAGTTCGTTACTTGTTTAGGGAATAGTTTGGTGATGGTGGAAAGTTGCTCCGAACTGGAGCTACTTGGAGCTATGAGCTTTTTTTTTGTGGAATCCCGGTAATTCCCTACTGCGTACACCATCAGTTTCGTTTATGAAATGCTGAGAAATTGGCGAGACGAAACGATGAAGGGGCTGGATTGTTTGAATCGAACTGGAATTTAAAGGAACTGAAGACAAGTATGATCAATTGAATTCGAACAACATAGCTATAGTACTTCATACAGAAATGATATGATATGATGACAAACATTTTAACCGTCCTTACTGCGGCAACTAACTCCAGCTAAGCAGAGTAGCTTCAGAGTACTAAGATCATTTGACGGTTTTACCTCGTTCTTTTCTGCTTCCGGAGTGTACCGTTGATTAACAGCCTACGGAGTAGAAAGTAAAAGCAAATTTAAAGAGCTTCATCTCAACGTTTCATTCGTCCATATCCTGGTTATCATTCACGATATTCAGTAAAACTTTAGACCTTGAAGAGTTTAGTTCGTTCTCCATTTGAATCAGCTGAAATGAGATGCGAATTGAAATTTAACCTATTTGGACGATAATCATTGGAATATACCCTTGAAAGAAACCTGGAAAGCCTCAACTTTTCAATCTTGGAGAAAACGGGTGAGAGTGGACCTTGATATTTTTCAGTGAATGAAAGCTTCAAACAGGTCAATCGGATGAAATTAGATACTTGTCTTATTCCTATCCACTCTTCATGATGAAGGTCCCCGATGTCCCGTATCGAGATGCTTGTAATTATCAATTCTTTATAGACGTGTTAGCTGTGGATGTTCGGCGATTCCCCCAGCTAGATATTAGATAGACAGATAGCTTTTATGATATAGTTGTTGTCTACGGAGTAGTTATTACTTGAGCTAATTTTGAATAGGTGCACATACACATACATACACACATACACACATACACACACACATATACACACAAAGATGTGATGGCATGGGATGATAAGATCCGCTTCTCATCTGATGGATGAACTTCTCTCCCAAGCAATCATTTGATCAAAGCAGCAAATCAAGCAAGTCTTCAAGTCTTACTTCGTACTTTCCCTGTACCTGGACCTTACTACGGAGTAAACCATAGTAAACCCTACCTAAATCTTCCAATGAGCAATTCACATCCTTGCAAATAACCTATTTTGAATATTTTGAATATTTTTACACGAATTGATTTTCCCTTTTTTGAATATGTTTGGCCCATCCACTGTCTTTCTGCGGTTCCATTGAATTTTACATAGAGGTCCATTCATCTCCTTTTGATCTGTTCTCTTCCTCTCCTTCCGTACCCTTGCTATCCCCATTCTACAAGCTCGTTTGCTGCTCACTCATTGCATTGATTTAGTCCTTGCCATCATTGCTCGCTCCTCTGATATGATTCTGATAAACGTATTATTCGAAAAGAAGTCCTCAACTAGCATGGTAGCAGAGAAAGCAAAGCAAGCCTAGCATCTATCTTCTCTAGTCCAATTGGTCCCCACCATTAATCTATTCAGTTCCCAAGTACTCCCGTCTCCTGCTGCTGCGGAACCTCTACCTTGCCAGATTCCCATAAGTCGACCTTACCTACTACCACACAAGCCAAAAAGTCTAGGTTTACCTCCTACCTACACACTATAACGTTCCATCCATCCACCAAACATACATCATACATCATACATCTTTTTTGGTTGCGCGCCTTCCCCAGCATAATATAATAATATCTATCCATTGCAATTGCAATTGCTGTTGCTGTCTTTTGCATACGCCTCGTATTTATCCCCCTCTTCGGCATTGCAGCGAGCATTTCCCAGCATCTTTTTTCCCAGCATCTTTTTTCCAAGCATTTATTCCTTCCCTACCTGGTCGCATAGTTAATTGATCATCTTCTGCCCCATCTACCGCAGACGGCCACCACCACCATACATACCATCATCACCAAAATCAACCACCACCACCACAACCACCACACGTAGAAGTACGTGCATGTTTCCTCTAGCTGCGCGTGTCTAGCATTAGCTCAAACAGATCCGAAAAATAGTCTCGCATTCGAAACTCCATATTTTTGGAAGAAAAAAAAAATTAAAAAAATCCAGCCAGGCTCAATCCGCTGCTCCTGCAGATTCCGCAGGGTTCATATATTTAACGCTGCCAGGAACCACTCTTCGCTTTGCTTATCATGCATGCAGTATCCCGCTCTTGAGGCTTTCAACGTCCTTGATATTGTACACCTTACGCAAGGTTCTGTACCATTAAACAACTACAATTGCCTCAGATTTCTGGAACTCAAGGAAACACCAGGAAATTTATTCGTTTAAATATCATATATCATAGAATGCACGAATCTATGATGGCCCATATTGGCATGGACCATGAGCAAAATCACAATCCACAGGAAAATGGATACGGCGGTGAAGGTTGGCCGGAAATGGGCAATGGCTACAGTTCATCACAGCATCAATCACCAATCTACGAAAATAGGATTCAATATGAATATATGCAACCTCATCATCCAATGTCTACTGAACCTCAGTATCCAAGAATGGCACCTCCACCGACGACGACATATTCCACGCATCACCAGCAACTGCTTCCTCTCATCATGCCAAATCATCCCACGTGGCCGAGCATGTTGACAAATCCGGCGACCTCCCAAGCACCACCTGTTGCAATTCCTCCAGCGAACTCTGGAAAGCCTGCTCAAAAACTTCCAGCTATTCATGCTGCTCCGACTCCAAGGAAGACACTGACTGATAGTGATCGAAGGCGAATGTGTCAATATCATGAGGATAATCCGACTGTTAAGCAGACTGAGATTGGAGGTAGGGCATGAAAGATTCTCCTAGTGATTCTCTTGCTAATTTATCATTCTTAGCTATGTTTGGTGTTGAACGAAGGTATAGTTTATTGTTAGTATTTGGTCCTGATCTTAACTAAAGAAAAACCCCAGTACCGTCTCCAAAGTTTTACGCCAAAGAGAAAAATATCTTTTCCCTGAAGATCGAAGCTTGTCTCCAGTTAAACGGGCCAAAGGAAAATTCCCTGATATCGAGAGAGCCCTCTCGAATTGGGTGCGAAATACCCAAAAACAGGGAATTCCTCTTACCGATGCTGCGATTAAGGAGAAGGCCAGATTTTTTGCCACCACTGTTGGTAACAACGAGAGTCACTTAAAAACAAATAGTACAAGTTGGCTAGAAAAATTCAAGCAAAAGAATGGCATCAGTCACCTCAGACGAAGGGCATCTGCAGCCGATATTGGTAGTCTTTCCGAACGTATGGCACTCAATATTGACTCAAGTAGAAGTTCCGGATCGCGTACATCCAATGGTGTCTCACCTGCTTCGCCATTACAGTCTCCTTTGCCATTGGCGTCCGCGAAGAGTAGTGAGGACCTTAGGTCCCATCATATGCATGATAGCTTGAACAGCTATTTTGACTTTACTCAAACAGCAAGCTACAAGCAGCATTCAAATTCTCACAGCACAGCTTCATTGTCTAGTGCGTTTACCGACAACAATCCTTCGTCATTCTCAGGAGGACCGACTAGTCCAACAACCCCATTTGCATTTTCTCCTGATGGGAGTTCCGGATCTTGGATGCCATCTCAGCAATCTCGGATAGCCCAGCAGCCAACCAACGGAAATGGAAACTCTAATACTGAAGATAGTATGAACAATGGGATGGACGCAAATAACCCTGCTAGCAATTTTCAACGTCCAAGAAGCCAAACTTTCCCCACTTTAGCGATTGATCCTTCATTCATCGCCTCGCAGGGTACAGATCCTATGACCCCAAAATACAATCTACCGGACACAGCCCCTTCATCGGCTGTCGAATCGCCTGTTCATGAACTAGGCGCTCCTTTTGGATTGGATTCTGCAATATCGCCACGATCTTTACATCATAGCAGCAGTAACAGCTCTATGGCTCCTCCACCAGCGTCACATACACCGATTAGCGGATTGCAATCGCCTCCACATCTTTCAACGCCGAACTCACCTACCCAGGATGATGCACGCCGAGCGCTTGATACGTTACTCAATTTCTTTCATCAAGCTCCTACTGGATTGGTGGATCAAAATGAGTATCTGACGGTTTTAAAACTGACTGACAAGCTGCGAATACATCAACAAAATCCAGGACCTTTACCAGGCGGTTTGCATCGGATCTCGGAACAGGAGGACTGCGATAACCAACCACAAAATATGAAGATGGAGCAATCCACGGCCTGTTAACTAACAATGACTTTCGCATCTCTTTTACATATATGCGCTTAATATCCCTGTAATTCATGGCATTTAAATATACGGTTCCAAAGTCAACATTTCTCGGCGTTATTTCCATCATATCTTTTCAACTGTATATGAAATACTCGTCTTCATGTTCTTCGTGTTATCTGCAGCGGCCTCGCATCTGCTCTTTGCATTTTATATTCTGATCTTTACGATCAACCAGGAACTGCAATTGAGAGCGAGTTGCATACAGGCGCGACCAAAATCGGATGTCCGGAAAGGAACCCCCCAAAAAATCAGGAAATGTTCTCGGATGAAATTTATATACCCAGTCAAGCTCAGTCGGTTTCAAGATTTTGCTTATTTACATCTTCGACGCTCACGCAAAATCTCTAGCTCAATACGACCTGCTTGATCTCTCGCGTTTAATTTTTTTTTTACAAATCCTCTCTTACCGTTTTTTACACGGTGTTTCTGTTATATATGCGCTTTGGTGCCCTTTCCACGCTGAGGCACTCGCTCTTCATACCCTACATAGCACATTTTCGTTTTGTACCTTTAGGCGGCTTTTTTATTCCTCTTCATGTGTGTGTCCTCGTCTTTGACATTCTTCGGAGTGGAAATTCATGGATGGAACACGGGTATTTTTCCATTTTTCTGATGCGCTATTGGTGCTGCAGAGTTCAAATTCATATTCCCAGACAACATTGTTGGGTTTCTATTCTTGGGCATTTTCAACAGTAATGTACGGCTTGCTTTCTTGCTTGCTTGTCTTGTGTTGTTTTATAACTACTTATTCTTCTCTGTCTGTCTCTCTTCGGGGTTGTATCTTTTTGTATTTAGGATATTCTTTTTTTTTTATACTTTACTTTTTACTTTTTCTTTCTCTCGTTTATAGTTTAGTTTAGTTTAGTTTTAGTACAGCATAGTATAGTATAGTATAGTATACTTATTCCACAGGTTGAGATTCTTTCGTTTATACTACGTGGACGGGACAGGATGGGATGCAATGGGATGAGCTGAAGATATGGAGATATGAGACGAGACAGAACGGGTTGAATATGATGAGATATATATGCATGGATGCATGGATGATGGATGCATTGGACGGATGAATGAGATATATCTCCTAGCACAATGGGGCTCCAGACTCTTTTTCACGCGGGGGTTTTTTTCAAAGCTAATTAGCTGGCACTTCACTTATTTGTCTCTGCAAAACAAAAATACACAAATCGAATGAATGACTTGGGTGGTTTATCTGCTGCATACAGAATCTGGACTTTACAAGCTGCAATATCTCGCTCGTGCTGTGGAATTTCTTGATGTGCGTGTGAAGATATATTTTATGTCCATATATATATAGGATAGGATTATGGGTATCTAAGCATTTCAATTAACGACCAGCTTGAAAATCAAAAATCTAAAACTACCTAGTTCAACCTCTCGTCCAATAACTCCTCCACCCCCTTTTCCCCCAATTCCGGTATCAATCTCGTGATAATAATTTCCACAATTCCATAGAGTAGGTGTTTATTACAATACACATCACTGAATACATTCAGCACATCTTCTACTTCCCGAATATGTCTTTCTTCCTTTGATAATTCGGCTGTTTTCGCTTCGAAATCGATATTAGTATCCGAGGAGTGTAAAGGAGCACGGCCGAAATAAATATCCCGCACACCTTATTGGTATCAGCCCCAATATAGCCTGTGCGCACCGTCGTCGTATTTCGATTGTTTCGGCAGGAGTTGGAGGGATTCTAGCTGGCGCGAGCGTGTTATTGGGGAAGAGGGTCTGACGGACTGTGCAGAGGAGGGGGGCCAGAAGGGTGGGGTCTAAAATGTGGGTGTGGATTTGGTAGGATAGGAGTCTGTGGATGCTTGTTAGCTTGTGGATTGTAATATTGCTGAGACATGAGGTGTGCCAGCTTCCCGAAAGTTTATGTTTGTGCTGCGTGTGGAAGATCCCCTATGGATGAAATGAATGGTAATGGATTGCAAGAAAAATAGCATTTGATAGACCGAATTGGACAAGACCTTGACGGATTGTGTAACAGTGATCTTTCTCCGCAGCCAGGCCACTGGAAACCCCGGCGAAGTCATCGGATGTTTTTCCTCGCCTCGGCCATGATATAGATGGGGGCCAAGAAGCGGAGAAACGCAGATCTTCCAAGTTTTACAAAGGAAGAAAGCGGCAATTGACTGGTTTAGGAAATGCCTTTTGGTGGGGAGGGAGATATGCGCAGCAAAGATGCGAGGCGTACTAAAATGTATTGAGCCGGGCGCTTAGAGAAGGCCATCGTAAGGCACGACACATTTTCCGACCCAAATTCGAAGCACCACAATACGAAACGTAATAACAGGGATAAAAAGGATAATTCATAAATTCAATGCGGGAAACGGGAAACGTGTTATGGTTGAATGCAAAATGATGCAGGTTCAAAGGATGATTGGATTCAAAGATATGAGCGCATGATGCCGATGCGTATATCATTTCTCGAGGGATTAAAAAATCCATTAATTCGAGGTTACATTACATTCTAGTGGCTGAAGCCTAGGCATCTGAAAAGAGACTCCTCATTCTGCATTCTGCAGGCCCTTGTCATGCATACCGATAACGGAAACTTTTTTAAATCCCTGATGATGAACAGCAGTTAAACGACTTCGTTTCTGCAAGTTAACTGGAACGATTTTGGTCAAGTGACCAAAATCTCATGCGGTGTGATGTATAAATGGGTTCTGGAACTCGGGACCAAAGAAAAAAGAAAAGTGATCAATCATAGTAACTTACTTATCAATCATGCCGTCTGTGTCTCCAATTTTTCCAGGGCCGGTAATTGCACCCCATTGAAGAAGAGATAATGTGGCGCTCAGCCATGGCATGCGAGTATCCATATCTAGCAAAGTAGACACGCATGACCATAACTTCATTTTGAGAATAGGGCGCTTGAGTGGTTGAGCTCTAGCCCAAGGTAATGCTTCCGAATTCATCGGCGGTTTCGAGTCATCGTTCGGCAAGGCTAAGCCAGTAGGTTTCCTCATAGAAAGAATACGAGACGGCAATGAAGATGAGGTCGCAATAGCAATGGTTATAACCCGAATCGTGGCGAACGCTAGGAACAAATATTGAAGAACTAGCCAAAAGGTTTTCTGCATCGACTTCCCAAAATCCGAAGTTTTCGTGCCACCATCTTTAATATCCAATAAGTTCGGCCTGGTAATTTCGGAATTTGACCTGTCAACTCGGACTTGCGCTTTAGATTTCGGTAGTCGAGCCTGTATGACTTCTGCAATCTTCATGATACCTTCCCATAATAGCCATGGTTCGCAGGCCTTGCCTCCAATGCCATTGCCTAGTATCATCTCTGAGAATATTTGACTAACTAAGGATGTCAAACAATCATTTTCGAGATCTTCCGTGGGTAATAAGACGGCTAAAAGACCGTTGATGATTAATTGTCTATAAGCAGCTTCATTATTTGACTGTCCCTTGATCGTATCGGGATCTCCTTCAAGCGGAACTGGCGATAGCGGCGCAAAAGGCCAAAGGGAATGATACACTTGACGCGGGTCCACCGAAATTGGGTCTGGATGTAGGGAGTAGTGCGATGTTCTATATACTTTTCACAATAAATTAGTATTTGTCACTTGGTGTATCCCATAAGTAGCTATACTTTTAACGTGTGTATCCAACAAATCTGGTAGTTCTTCAAACAACAAGCTCTCCAAGTCCACCTTCCTTAACCTTTGTTCCAGACCTCTCGTACAATGTGCAATAATTTTCACCACCTCTTCCACAAACACTTGATCTGGTGTAATTTTGGCATACCATGTATACACAAATTCCCTGATTATGATTGCTATAAACGCGTACAGTTGCAGATCAACCTCGTTACTACTCGTCAGCGGGGGAAGTATCTCATCGATTGGAGCTGGGGTACTACGACCCTTCTCACTGATGTGTGAGCATAATGTGCGACGTATGAACAGTAATGTAGACCTATCCGAAATAGCATCTGTAGAGAGGTTGCGGTGGATGGGAGCGGCTGGAGTATTAGGTCGAGAGTTCGATGTGGCTGTCGATTCTGGAGAGATAGCGGTGGTGTTCACGATTGTGTGAGCTTTCGAGCGAGGCTGAAAGGGTGTGCGCACAGGTACGCCCGCCATTGCTTAGGTAGATTCGGGTCGATTCGGGTCGATTGGCAGCAAAATCATGGCGAGCTGCTGGACATGATGTTAAATATAACGAGGACGTTTAGTTGCGGGGGAATGGAGAGGGTGAGGCTGTAAGTGAGTTTAAAGATGGGTAATTGTGATGCATGCATACGTAGGGGACAATGTGGGTTTCTTAGGCTAGAACCAATAAGATGTCCAGCCTTGTTGCACCACAATCCTACCGTCTTACCGTTGTTGATACCGCATTCAAACACAAGTCTGTCAATACACTCTAATACAATTGTTTATTGAAAATCCGATTCCGATTTGGTATAACCATGTTTCTCTTTTCTCGCTTGACTGGGTAAGAACTCTGCAAGCACATCGGCTCACCGGGAGGAAGCATTAACCATATCAGGCTCCCTATCATGCCAGTCTCCTCTACTACGAGTCTTCCCCTTTAATATCCATATTCTTCCCAAAAATAGTCATATACCTATACTTCTGGTGCTGCATAATCACTTTGCTTTGCATCCTCACAAATCACATGGAATATTTTTATCTTATTCTTGTCGAGGATACGGGACAAGTGTTCTGCAGATTATGATACTGCAACATGAAATATATATTCAATGGAGCTTGTGAAGTTCAATCGGAGAATATGGACTCGAAGAGTGAAATACTAATGGGCTGTTTTGGAAACCAAGCATAACCAAGCATGTCTATCTATATATTAAGTTTAATATATAAATTTTCATAGATGAAAACCTTTGCGAGAACTTACCTGCCTGATATTTAATCGCGGTTCCTGGGAAAGATCGTATAGTTACAACCACAGAATGCACACTTCACTGCAGTGAAGATAAGTTCTATTCAAGTGAGCAAACTACTTCACGGTGAATTCAAACATGAAGACTATGATGCCATTACACTTGCTGTTGTGAATATGCATCATGGGTCAAATCATTGCTCGCCTTCCATATTTGTTGAATCTGCCAATCCACATCATGCTTAACTGAGTTGTGCAATAAATAATGCACCTGGTATCACATGGATACATGGGCTTAAATTCGCATTGATATGGGACGAGTTTGTTAACCGTAATCTTTCGTATCATCTACTTGTAGTATGTCCATACAATGTAAGTGTAGCCTGTTGCACGAACAATCCGGGCACTTACATGCATCACGTCCCTCAATTAGATACTCACTTGAAAGATTAATAAACATCTAGTAGATGAGCACTTTGTTGTTAATCTATCATGCTGGGATTGATTTGAATAGAACAGTCTTTTAATCCCTAGTTGTAGGAGTGTTGATGATCTGACTCGAGTCACGGATCACGGCTAACATCCTAGATCTTCATATTTCGCAATTTCGACAGTACCTTAGAATTGAGAATGTGTAGCACATGTTCCAAATTTAAATTATCAAAAGCCAATGCCAAGAGTATTCTCTTCTGAGCTTAAGACGGTAGATAAGCTCCCTAAAGCACACTGGTTGGATTTCAGCTTCTAAGAGGAGTTTTGATAGCACGTTGACCACAGATGGCGTATCGAATTTTCTCGCACTATCTAGGTCGATATGTCATCAAAAAACAAGTAGAAAGACTTTTGTTGCTCATCTTACAAGGATATCTATCAACCATCTCTCCCTACACTCCTTCTAATTCTGGTACTAGCCACAGTAACTCACTATGTTCCATATTTAAATAAACTCGCGCCTATAACCCCAGTAGTTCTGTCAACCGTCCCCATAAGTTTATCTACTAGTACGAAACCTTGTCAAGCTCTATCCAAACTTCATGACACTACTTTGAAGTCTTCGACTAGCCGCTCTATTGGTTTCTAAAACATTCCAATCAAAGTCCCAAAAAAACAATATGTTGCACTTCTAAATGATTTGATTACAGGCCTTACCCTGACAAGTATGCGATGATCACCGATATCATGCATCTTAGAAACTCACCACCATCCGGCGCCGTTTACCCTAAGGCGCGATTCACCGAATAGTAAGGTACTATTTTTCATTGACTACCTAATAGTCTTCCAATATATAATACCAATCAAACATCTTAAAAGATTATTTTGCATATCTGAATGATTTACAGGCCTCATCCTGACAAGTATGCCTTAATCATCGATATCATACATTCTATAAAGCTCACTACCATCCGGCGCTGTTCACCCTGGGGCGCGATTCATTAACTAGTATTTGTCTGATCTAATTAGTCTTCCAAGATAGAATGCCAATCAAACGTCTCGAAAGATTATGTTGCACATCTCTAGTTCCTTCTACATGCCTCATCCTGACAAAGTATAGGATGATCATCGATATCATGCAACATTTTAAAAGTTCACTACCACCCGGTGCTGTTCGTTCTAAGGCGCGATTCAGCAACTAGTAGATACGGTCTTAGTTGACTACCTAGCAGCCTTCCAGACTAGAATGCCAAAAAACATCTCTCAAAAGATCATGTTGCATATCTCTAGTTCCCTCTCTACACGCCCCATCCTAGCACATATAAAATAGCTACCATTAATCAACACCACTACAGGAATCCGTAGTATTCATAGTATCCGGCGATTGTTCAAATCCACCATACAGCACAAATTTGACACTAATCGACGCTAATAGTATTCTATAGTATCCCAAACAATCGTTGGGTTTGATAGTGCTTCTTACCCCTCATTATTAGAACTGTAGATTTACTCTGTTGCATATCTGTGCCGGGATATTATTTAAAAGTTCTTTTTAGATTAGTATATTATTTCTTTGGTTTTCGATATACTGGAATATTGTAAATTTACTTACCGTAGGTAGTCGTCAATATAATTTATACCGTCACCCTTGCTCTGTATAGAAGTAGTGCTCTTTTCTTCAATACACATCATATCCGGAAATTTCTTCTTCTGATCTCTACTTGAAGATTCCACCGCCTAGAACATCAACTTACTAACTTATGGTTCGAAAATGCTACGCAAAGCAGTATGTAAAGAGCGAAAAAGAGTAGGTAAGTTACAAGATCTTACAACATACGCTTCAAAATGGTCCCCTAGAAAGAAGCCCATGGTGAGCGACATCACAGCAAAGCAAAGCAACTGCACTGCCTACTGAATAAGAAGCTATATGGGAATTTACAAACATGATTCAGTGAAACTAATAGTATTCTTGAACACCATACCGAACATATTACAATATGTGTTTAGAAAACTTAAATATAATGCTTAGCTCGAGTCTAGCTCAACTCAACAAACAATGTAATTCGACGATTTAAATCCTTAAATTGGATATACTTGTCTTTCCAATCTTATTTTATCAATCAAACACATTTCTTTATTATTGAATCGTGAAACTGGTAAAGTGCCCAGGTATATATAATCAAAATTTTAACAGACTAATGATATATCTGACTAGCTCCCAGGCCCTAGCTCCTTCCTTCAGTATATAATTATATTCTATTCCCCCTCAACATTTTTCAAAAATTTCTCTCTCTCTTTCCTTTTCTTTCCTTCCAAAGCGTACATTATGACTCTTATCCCCTATCAACTCAAAAAATTATAGATCTTTTATTATTTAAACAAGATGTTTTAATATCAGAAACTAAAGAAGACTCGAGTTTTTTTAAAAGGGTATACTTAAGATTATATGTATTAAATCTGTGATAAACTGTTGATTTTACGAATCCTGGCTTAGTTGTTTTGTAGATATTGAATTAATGGCTAGATTTGTTGATGATTTAGTTTTTTTAATCTATTTATCTTTCCACTTTTGTCTCTTCGTTCCACTATCTTCGTAACTTTAGCCTGCTAGTTCTAGATTTCCCCTTCCATTATCTTCCAGGGCTCTCAATGATCTTACTATCTTCGTTTGTTTCGAGATAAACCTGTAAATGGAAGACATATATGTAGTTACCCATATCGACGAATGAACCAACGAACGAAGAAACGAAGGTAGGGAGATTATTTAGAGGAAAGAGCAACCGGAACTCGAGCTAGAAAGTGTAGACTCTAATCCACACTTGCACTTTGTGACTACCGCTGTTATTGTCACACTCAAGAATACTGGGTAAAGTATCTTGTATTAGGAAATACTAAGCTAAGGAGAAAAGAAGAAGGAAAACAAGAGTAGCGAGTTTTCCTGTGATTAAATACAAACGGGGCATGCCACGTGACCCGGAGGTGTGAGGCGTCACAGTTATTCTCTATCTGCTTTTTATATATAATATCTTAGTTCTTCCTGTCTTTAAAGAAATAAGATATAGAAAAATAAATAATAAAAACAATATTAGTAACTGACGGTCTAGAATTATATTAAATTGATTTTATATAAAAAAAAATCTTAAATTAAAATATATAATATTATATATATATATATATAAATAAAAGAAAACTTTTAATTTGTTAAAAGGAATGACCTCACACAGGGAATAGTGGGAAGTGTCACGATTCACCATTAGGATTGATGGTGTTACGATGGTAGCAAACTGATTAATTGGGAGAGCTTAGGCCTTGTGCAAACACGATCAGATTTCATCGAATTAGTATGTGATCTTGGTCACCTGAAGATCGTATGCGCACGCACCATCAGAAATCACGTGATGAGGAGCCCTGAGGAGCCAGAAAGCTCCTAGGGGCTCCCTTTATCGTTCATTATATAGTCAGAGTAGTTTCATAGTTTAGGAGCTTCGTGCTCAACTTAGTTATCAATTAGTTTACCTACATTCTATTTGATCTAGTAACGAATTCACTTTCAAGTGAATACCAGTGATAAAGCCTTAACCTATAACTACCAACCGACGAACCTTAGGCAGCCGCTGCCTTTAGTACAGTATCGTTACAGCAGGGACTTAAAGTAATGACAATAATGCAATTCGTAACTAATAGTAGAGTATACTAAATGATTGATCTTGAGCACGAAGCTCTATACAAAGGAAATCCATCTTGGTTATATAGACCTTCATGCTAATCGTCCCCTTGGTCCCTTCGATCAAGAGACCGAGGGGATCTAAGGGACCATGTGATTACATAATTGGTCACATGATACGAGATCCGAAGCCGTCGTAACATAAGCCTAAATAAGATATTTACAATAAATTTCCCTTCTGATTGATTATCAGACTCTTTGTAATTTATTCATTCTATCGGATTCATTTCTAAATCCCAGCTATATATACTGTCACAGGAGTATATCAAAGGAAATGTCATTTTAATCCACACTTCTATATGCCAGGTATTCAAAGATCCATGGGTATATCCTTAAAACGCCAATATCAACGTCAACATCACAAAAAGTGTCCTGAATATCCGAATCAAATTCATGTTCCTTCATCCATCACATCTCCATTTCCTGGTGGTGCAGCATGACTTTCAAACATTCCTACAACTCTTTCTAAATCCTCCACTTCTCCATTCCCAAGTTTTCTCCCCTCACCCTGCCATTCTCCATCTCTCACCTCACCTTGCGAGCCTAATTCTAAACCTCGCACGTTCTCTAAATGTCGTCTTGTTTCTTTTTCAATAAATTCCAATCTTTCCCTTCTCCAACTCTTTTCTTGTTCTCCCACCATTCCATCCATACCATCCCCTTCTGATAACTCTTTCAACCTCGGCCCTAGATTATCCAGTAACTGTCTTAGCGCAGGTAATTGAGTTAACGCGAATTCGGTCGTTGTTGCAATAGGGTGTTTTCCATCCTTTGTCAAATTTCCCTTCTTTTGTAAGAATGCCAATGGAGCTTGTTCATCATCTTCTACATCCACATCCATTTCAGTACCATCCTCAGCCTTCACATTCTTCTTTGTCGGACTTGAGATTGGTGATATAATTCCTTTCAATGCCGCAATAGTTTTCTCATTCCTCTCCTTCTCTGCCCTTAACACGGCGTTCAACTTCATCGTCTCCCTTAATCTCTTCCTCTGCAATGTAACAGTTTCCGAGGTCGGTATCCCATTCGCACTCGTTCCATTTTCTTCTATCCCTCTAAAATCCAATCCTTCATAATGACTCAGTCGAATCCAATCCCTGACATCCGCCGGCACCGCAAAAACGTTCCTCAACAAATAAATCTCCATCTTATCGAAATTCTTATCAATCTTCGCATTGAGTAGTGTCTCCAACTTATAAACTCCGTATTCGATTTCGTGCTGACATTGTGTTGCTACATCATCAGCGGAGAGGGTGGAGGTAGCTATGAAGCCAATTGAGGCAGGAGGAGCGGCTAGAAGACCCTTTTCGAGCGCATCGATGGCGCGGAATGCGAGAAGATTGATACTGTTTATTATGTCATCAATGACAGCCTGTGTAGATGTTAGCGATGCGGTATTAGAAGTGCGCAGAACTGACATGACCGTATGTTTATACTTACAATTGGTCTGTATGTAAGGTGCTCTGTCAGGAGAGCAGTGTCTGCAGCACTCATGGTTGCTGTGGTCGTTTTCGAAAATTGTTTGCGCCGATGGTGTGAAAGGAACCGTGAATAACCTGAGTATACAAATGTGCCGCAGATAATATAGAGAAATCAAATTAGGTATCGGTAGCACAGATAAGTAACCAAATAAAGTCACAAATGGGTAGGTTATTTTAGTTCTAGGGAAAAACTTTGGCGACTGGAAGATAGAGAGATGTTGACGGAGAATTGCGGGGGACGCGTTTGACAGGGGGATAGATTTTAGCGTGATTCAACTTCTTGGTGTTTGTGCTCCCGGTGAGCTCAGTTTTTAATTCCCGATGACTCTTTAGTTTTGTTGAAAGCAAAGGCAGGCAATCCTTGGTTACACTTACTAATTAATGACTACAGAACCAATAATTTTTATCAATGACGAGATTTTATACCGTCAAGGAGGTAAAAGCATTGTCTACTTTAATTTTATACTTACATCAAATTAAAAGGTTTGAGGAAAGATTGGAAAGGAAAGAGAGGTGTGAAGTCTGAAGTCTGGTTACAGTGACATCACCAAACTCTCATTTCTATGCTAATCACTAATCAGATGTGCAACCGAACTTTGGAAAGGGAATGAATGTGTGGGTGACGAAGCGAAGTCTAGTTAGGTAGTGTTAGATTATCAACTTATTGGTTCTATTCTTCTCAGATGTGCAACAAAAATCTCACAGAGGATTGTGGAATAAGCTTGGAAAGTCCGCGCGTGGATTTATTTATAATCTATGCAGCTGTCTGTGTATGAGAACCGAACCAGAAATATATAAGCGTCGCACTGTACGATTATAGATCGAAGCATTTGGTTGCTGACAGACTCATATCCCAATTCGTTGTAAGTATTATCAGATTCGTGAGAGAAATTGGAAGAGAATGGGTAGATGTCCTGTTGAAAGAAAGAGAAAGCACTGTCTCAAAATCCAAATGTTGATAACCAAAAAAAAACAGTGCGAACCTTGAAAATCATGCCACTTTCAAGCTCGAATGGAAACAGATGGATCTTTAAGGGAAGGGAAAAGAGATTGAGAGGGTATTTCATAACCAATGACCGGAAGTTGCGCCTTCCAGATAGAATAAAGCTTGATCAAACCATAATCATAACCATAAACAGAAATCACAACCGTGACCGTGACCGTGATCCATCGTATCCTTACCCCTTCCTCCTTCCCCCTTCCCTTCAAATTGATACATACGCTCTGCTCAGGGACAATACCCCACGCCAAGATGCGAGATATTTCCCAAGACAGTTCTATTATATGGGACTATCTCTCTAAGGAGTACTCCCTCACCATATTTGGAAATGGTTAGAGTGTTTTGTTAGTGTCAACTTATAGTATCCAAATACCGTATATATAATCTCGACAATGATGAAATTCAGCTTAAATTCGATCGGAGGAAAGATTCAACCGTCTCCATCGATTTATTGATTGGTGATATCCTCATGGCTAGACATTCTTGCTCACAACTTCCCACATCGAAAATATCAAGCAGATTCGGTATGATATTTGTCCGTATAGGAGTTTAGCAGAGCCCGAATATATCTTCTCGAGATTATACGGTATAGATTATGATTACTAATATGCAATTTGGACAAACATGGGTTGGCGAGGTAGGGTAGGTACCGTACGGAGTACAAGACGTCGGACCCACCGTCACAGTGAATCATGAGTTCCCAAATGAAGTTGCACTTGCGTCAGTAGTTGTGGTGGGGACCAGTTCGGCACCCATTAATGGGAATGTCCACGCTATGTGAAGGTTATTAAGGTTCGATGCTAGCAGTGCGTGGAAAGGGTTATTCTTGTGGGTGTGAAGAGGCTTGATTTATTATTATCGTACGACTGAAACTATACTGTATACAAAGCCCCACTACACTCGCACCTGCCATCTTATGCCCAACAGCGTGGACATTCGTTACACGGTTACAGCCACTTTCACAGACGGTAGAAGTTGGATCTAAGTTGGATCTACCGGTAGTAGAACGGGTAGCAGGACGGATAGTTTTCTGATCGGGGCTGAGCTTCAACTCGTCGTCATTGAGATTGATAGGCTGTTTCTAGTGAGTGATTGTAAGGAGGAATACGGTGGAATGAGAAAAGAATCGTACGACGCGGGACACATTGGGAGATGAAGCATTGTCGACTTGTGGGGTTGTGGAGGTTGGCTAATTGTGTTTTAAGAGTTTGATGTTGATTCAATGCGAGTAGTGTAGAAGGATGAGGCGGGAGAGAAATCTGGTCGGTCGTTTCACACTGATACTCGAGTAGTACTTTATATACATTCCATCACGTTATGTACGAACCATATATCAAAACCAGCTGAGGCACTGTTTTGAGACCTTATGAGTATTCTTTCTATAAATTTAGATGGTGTTGTTCGCAATCATACTACCTATTTCTGTACGAATGAGGGCCAGAAGAGATACCCGACAGACCTTGCAGTAGATTTGTCTCTAAAAAACGTTATGCATAGAGCAATGACATTGACATTTCGAACGGCTGAGATAATTATTACTAAACTCTAAGACCAGACACAGGCTGATGCCGCCTCCGCCAACATGATCAACCACTTGTATGGGCTGGAGGATGACTCAAAACACTGAAAATAACTGACCAAAGCCCCTCGGACAATGAGAGCGAAAGTATATTTTGATTATGTACTCCGTCGAATTTGCTGATAAAGCAATGATTCGCGGCGCCCTGACTTATTCTAATTTCGTCCAAGACACTGACACTGTCTGGTACGGGAGCCGGGTAAGATCTTTCCGATCTACCGCATTCCAATGGGAGATATTGAGTTATTAAGTTATTGTTAATTTATATTTATATTGATATTTATATTTTGGCATGATAAATCTTGAAATATATGACGGGTAAATGGATAATGTCAATGATGAAAAACTTCATTATTCATAGAGGACATCTGATTATTCTTCTCCAAGAAATTGGACTAATTTCATCGATTTGGTGTCGAGTTGAGGCCCTTTGGTAGCGAGAATCCTAACCTTGCCCCATGACTCGAGGGGCATCTTGGATCTTCATCCTGCAAACACGGCACAGCATACAGCATACAGCATGCAGCGATCTGCTAAATAGAGGTTCCTCGATGAAAGATGATATCGATGAGGTTATTTAATCATCTGGACGTTTTAGGTTTTTTCTTTTTCCAAACTTAAATAGAGTGAGGAACGAGAAAAATGTACTTTCAGTGTTTTCAGGGGATCGATTGAGATCCGAGGGTTCCCCGCCGGATAATGCCATGAATGAACTTTGACAATTTGACGTGACTTCATAACTTAATAGGCATCAAGTTCATTTCGTGTTCCTGAGTTCTGAGCCCTGAGCTGAGTTCTGACTCGTGACCCAACGTTTTCCGATGCTTCGGTTTGGCTCTGAGAGGAACTGGCGCTCACAACGCTTATAACGTTATACGCTATAACGTTATAAGCTATAACGCTATAAGGCTTTCAACGCCCGTGTAACCTATTCTAGCACCTGCCAATTCTTTGAAAGCTAAACGGATGCCCTAAATTTCTAATTTATTCCCCGAGATCCTTCCGGGGATAGGAGATCCCCCCCAATAATAAAACTTTTACCATGGTTTCCCTAACATCGGGACATTTCCACACGTGACACGGCATTGTTCTTCTACAGTAGCTTGAGCCTTGGAGGGCGCATGAAATACATGAATGAAATACATGGGATTTCCCGCCAGGATTCGTTCACAGTCAGTGAGTGTACGTATGTACGATTAGAACCCAGATAGCATTATTAGCTGCCGGTGCTACTCAGCCAGCCTACCACACAATCTTCCGAAGCTAGAACCTTAATCCGTAACCGCTATACCATTTTCACAATTGCAGGAACCGCGGGACAGATTTGTTTCTATATAACCTTTTCGATATTACTGCATTCACAGTGCAGATTCGTGCAGATTCCACTATTGTGGTTCGATTGCTTCCCTCACGTAGCACAGATTAATCTACACCCGACGAAACCTGGTCGACTCGTTATTACTCACTGGCTAAATGTGGTAAAGTGATGAGGGGCATCAGGGGTTCCAATATATCCAAGCGACCTGTTTGGCCCATTTGACACGTTTCTCATGTCCGTCGGTACCTTGCATTGGTGACCGGGGGGGTCAAATCTCTAGCCTAGATTCGTGCTTCGTATAGCTTTACGCTCCAGATGAGAAGAAGGAGGAGAAGAGAGTGAGAGAAGAAAGAGGAGAAATAAGAGGACGGCATGTGAAATCCTGAAATGCGCGGACAAGTTCCCAATTTGTAACTTGGTAACATGCAATCAATATCACACTCCATCGACTAAATTTAAAGACCCTGCTGGGAGTGGATGTCGGCAGGGCCCATTGCTTTCTTGGGCTCTTGATAAAGTCCGTCTTTTTCTTGCTTCCAACTTCTCTCCCCCAGAACGATTCACGGAGCGAACTAGAATTTCGTATGCATTGTCCAACAATTCTCCGGTTTAATATGGAACGGTGCCCATCGTTCCCATAGTTTTTATTTCTAGAAAATCTTGTAAACTACTTCACGCCGTCCCTCACACTAAGCGCTACGGATTCCGTACAACATTCTAGGCTTGATGGACGCGTGGGATTTTGCAAATCACTTTTCGTCTCCTCCCGCCGACCTGGATAACGATGATAGTTTTACTATGAGTTCCTCGCGCGCCGTCCATCATTTTGTATCCCCTGAGAAAGAGGTTAATGCTGGCCTTTGGTCTCTTTTCGCCGGTGCGACCATATGTCTCGGCCTTCGACTCTATTGCAAATTGAGACGTCAAGGTCTCTGGTGGGACGATTATATACTCATACTATCCTGGGTGAATACACATGGCTGACATCGAATCACGAAATTCCATCCAGCTAACTGTCATGCATCAGGTGGTCCTCCTCACAGCCGACATATTCATTTCCTACGAGTTCGCCACCGGATATGTCGTCAAGACTTGGAACGATCGTATGTTGATTCTTGTGACGATCTCATCCTGCCTCACTACCGCCGGCCAAACATGGAGCAAATCCGCCTTCGCGGTAACGCTTCTCAGGATGACAAATGCCTGGCAAAAGGCCATTTGCATCATCACCCTCATCGTCCTCAACATCTTCCTAGTCCTCAAGGTTTTTGTGAATTGGTCTAAATACTGTGACAAATCCGGTTATCAAAATTGGTGGAGGATGCCTGGTTTCTGTATAGATTACCAAGCCGTGCATGATATCAAGAACGGGGGAAATAGTGGGTGCAGAAATTCGTATGATTAGAATGTCGATCACTAACTTGTCCCATGTAGTCTTCAACATCGTTGCGGACTTTGTGCTCGCTCTCTTTCCATGGATGGTTACATGGAAGCTGAAGATATCTCTCAAGGAGAAGATTGCTCTTTGTATAACCATGAGCCTCGGAATTGTGGTCGCCATCATCTCAGCCGTAAGAACTGCTTGGATGAATGACCCAAGTGTCGATGCCTATAATGACTATTATTTTTGTAAGTCTTTTTAGAAATTCCTATCTTTACCTTACCATTCTCCACCCTGTCTTCTCCTCTCATCTATGCTTCCACTTCTCTTTCCCATTCTTCTATTCCCCCTCTCCATATATACACTATTACTACCACCCATCTCACACTCAACCATTTCATCACCATCCTAACATAAAACTCCCAATAGGGCGCCAAGGATTATCAATGGTCTGGTACTCAGCCGAGGTAGCCGGCACTATAATCGTGCAATCCATACCACTAATGCGACCACTGTTAAACGACATGCACTCCTCACTAGCATCTAGAAAACTAAATTCCGACGCCGACAGAGGATACGGCCCCGGGAAGAGTATTAAAAGCGCAAAGCGAAGAACCCTCACCTTGATCCTCCAAGGTGCGGACATGACAGACGACGTAAATGGCACCGACGACAAGAAAAGAGAGGATGTAGATCGAATGCACCTGACCCAAGACGAGAACGGCAAGATAGTCCTGCGGAGAAGGACCCAGGAACCACCCATGGAGTATGAAGAGAGCCGCATGGCGAGCAGAAGGCTGGAAGAGGACGAGATTGGCTTGACGCAGGATTCAAAGGGGAGGATTGTGATGACCAGTGATTACCACGCCGATGGGGACTTGGGCCAAACTCCCGCGTATAGCGCTCACAGGGGTCCGGAGGACATTCCCAAGTATAGCGCCCACGCATGTTTGGAGGAGATCCCAGAGTATGACGACCACGGAGAATTGGAGCAGATTCCTGAATACCGCAGCATCGAAGACAAGGAAGAGATTCCTATGACAGAATTCCACGCCACTACTAGTAAATAAAAAACCATGTAAATAACTTTTTTCGAAGAGAAAATCTTTAAAAAAACAAGAAAAAAGAAACCAAAAAGAAAAAAAAAGATTCAAAGCTTTCACACACAAAAATCAACCCTTTTTTTCATATTCTGGTAGGAAGGGGTCCCGGCAGATCCGAGATTCCTAGTTTGTTTCAAACCAATATTTTTTCTATTACAACGATTTAATAAACTTCAAATTTTCAATTCGCTATGGTTCCCTACCCGAATATATATATAATATACCATGTTCCATCTGACCAACTATCTACACCACACACCCCCCAAAAACTATATCACATCCGTCAACATTTCGCCACGCGCTCATCATGCGCCCGCTGTTCACTCTTCATAACACGATCAACCCAATAATACGACACCAGAGCCCAAATGACCAGATAGGCAAACAGCACACCGAGGGATAATCCAAAGGCGTAGTGGAATTCGAGGGACCATATTACCGCGCTCAGACAACCGAGATATACCAATACGCCTGCGATCCACCATAAGGTTAGGTGGAGAAACATGCGTCGAAAGCCCGGGGAAGAATCATATCGCGCATTATATCGCACGCGGAACTCGCGGTCTTGGAGCCCATCGACGGCGATAAAATCTTCGGCCGCATAGTATATAAATGGACGCATGGGCGAACCTCGTGCGTGGGAGTTAATGCCGATGGGGATTTTGAAGGGGATAAGCGAGATGAGCATGACGATGCCGAGGAAACTCATGAGGAAACCAGGGGAATAGAGATATAGTTCTGGGATTTCGAGGGAGCTGCCTACAACGAAGGGAATCAGTGCCATGAGCATGGAAACACCGTATACCCAGGAAGTGGCATCTAATTCCCATTTGGAGCGGGAGAGAAGCGGAGCACACAGGTCGCGATATTTGAGAAGACGAGCTACGCGCACGATGAGGATGTAGAGCTCGCCAAAACCCGAAGCAGATGATGGCGTAGCCGAGGATGTCTTTATCGTATTCGGGTTTGGGTAGAGGACACTCGTTTTTGGGGTATGCTTTGCAGGACTTTGCCCATCGCGAACGGTGGATGTCGAACCAGACGTAGTAGATTATGCAGGGGATGACGATGTCGAATAGAAGGATAACAAGAGGACCGATTGTGATGGAGAGGTGATCTGTAGGTTTTGGGTTCTTTTGTGCTAGTTTTTCGAAGGGCGGAGGAGGTGGGAGAGCGTTTGTTGTTGCGTCGTCGGAATCCGAGGAGAGATGTGGTGTAGCATTGAAGATGGCATTGCCATTGTCTGCGGTTGCGTCGGCAGAGAGGTATGATGGGACGTCCTCGATGGTGTTGCTGGGCGGGGCAATTATATTGATCGTAGGTCCTTCGTTGGTGTACTCGGGACCACCGAGTACTTCGTTCGTCGAAGCTTCAGCACTCGAGCCCGGAGTCAGAGGTCTTCCTTCATCTTTCTTTGCTTCATCGCTGACAACAGACGGCATTTCGTTATGATTTTGACTAGTAGACATCACTGCATTCAGCTGCGAAGCTCCACTATTATTGCTAACCCCCGCCATTGTGGAAGACGTATATATGTAGGGAAACGATAATGCTGATGTTCAGCAAATGTTCATCTCTGAAAATACTATTGCATGGGGAAGTACTCTTATGATCTAGTGTTCTTGAACCTCCAAGAAAAGATCAGACAATACAATTTACCAAGGCAAAAAGCTGTCTTGTTTCATGTAAGTAGGAATTCTGAGGCGCTTGAACGGCCTAGAGCACACTAGTGCTCTTGAGATGTTTCAATTTGTAAAAGGCTTTTACCCATCCGTGGTTGTGTAATAGGCCAAATTGGCTTTGGATAGATAAGGTAGTCGTAAGAAGTTTGGAATTGAATGGGAGGAGGGGAAAATAAGCTGGGTGATGAAGCAAAAGAGGAATCCATGATGGTTAAATTCATGTTGTACTCGCCACATCAAGACAGTAGAAATGTTCACGGAAGTTGATCCAAGTATCATTAGTCATCACGGGAGAACTTATATGGGATTCATATGGTATTCTAAAATCAGGTACCAAGCGTAGCGGGCGATGAAACGGAAGTTTTGCAGAAGCTTCCATGAAAAAATCCCATCCGAAAAACACCTAGCCCTACAACAATGGTGGTGGCAGCGGAATTACTGACTCAAGTCTTACGTCTGAGTAATGTTTCAGGAATTACTCTGCACTTTCAAGAGACTCCGCCACCAGCTTGTAACTGTTTTTTAATTTGTTACCAGTGGCGGGGTTTGCGCTGATCTTTGTAAGTGGTTTCGACTCGCCAGCCGTTTTAGTACTCTCCAAGAAACCGGATAACCCACTTTGCGCATCTAGTTCAAGAAGGGTCACTGCGGCCACTATAATAGTGCCTTCGACCCGATTTGAGTTTTCGTGATCGACGTACTTTACTGCAAAATTGCTAGCTTTCAGTTAGTCTGCACATTATGAATTGGACCGGGACGGAAAAGAACAAACTCATATTACTTAATTCGCCCCTCCCCCGCCCTGTCCCCTTTCACGCCGTTCATAGGACGATTTGCAAAAAGGGATCGGCTAAATTACAAGCCACTGTCTAGCTATGACATTTGCCAATTTCCTATTACCTGTGATCATGCAAAGAATTTTTAGATTGTGGGCAGTATCAATCGTGATATCTTCTCGTGTGCTTTCATGATCTTTGGTCTCGTTGAGTACACGAAGATAGTATTTTATTGCGAGGTGCGAGACACCAAGCATGTGGTAAACTCTGGCCAAATTGTAATGCGCTTCCTGACGCTCCTCGACAGCCGCTGACTGTTTACGTGAGTTGTAGTAGTCGAACAGAAATGTTAGACCTTGAAGGATCATGAATTGCCTGTTATCCGCTTGTCTCTTGAGAGAATGATGGACGTAAGCAAGGCCTATGTTCAAGTTAATTATAGCATTATTCGGGTCGAGTGCATAAGCTCTCAGGAAATAGTCTATGATACTTTTCGTCAGTGAAGTGATTTATTTAAATATGGTAGCTTGGGTTGAAATACTTAAAGAATAGGCATAGCTTGTTCCAGAGTAAAGAATGTGTCCATATAACATGAGGAGAGCGACGTCCATATCATCATTGAGGATTGGTTTCCCATTTTTGTCCTGAGACGTGTAGCCAGCTTTCTCGGCATAGCCCTTTTGTCGACGACTTTTGTCGACTAGGTTAAAATCCATGGCTTTGACTTGACGAAGCATATACTTTTGCTCAGGACCTGAACAGTACCACGAGACCGGAGACTGACACAACCTAGCTATAGCCGCGTACATTCTATAAGAGTCGGTGGTGAACTGATATTCTCTCATGAAATATCTTGCCACCCTGATACACATCTCCTCGTCGTTACAAAGTAAAGCACAGGCTGTATAATAATTAGCACAGTATCAATTACTCGACAGAAAGATGAACTCACTACCCCAGCACACATGTATCAAAAACATATCCTCGCGCTTATGATAGAAGACAATTGCGTCCCTGGCTGATTCACAGATCTCATATGACTCTCTGTCATTCCCATCCTTAGCGAGACATATTGCATATTCGAGAAAGATGTCCAGCCAGGAGCTGAAGGAGATGCCACGATAATCAGCTGGTATGCTAGCAGATGTGGCACTCGTCTTGTCCTCAGCGTCTGCTCCGAGTTCTAAATGTGTTAGCACTTTAGGTAGCCACGTATTAGGATTTTACTGACTTTTTGACAAACGATCAGCCATTTCGGTCAGATCAGTCTCTAATTTTGTCTCCGCCTGAAATTTATCATCGTTGCTGTAACCTAAAAATTTGACATATTTATCCCAAGGATAGAAGGTTTTGAACCCTCTAAAATCATCTATAAGATCTTCAGCAGCCTCCATCCACTTCAAGGTAGCCGTTTCATCCCCAGCTCTCATCCTTTCTAGCTCAATTTTCATGATAGAGTACTGGCTCTGTAGATGCTCTGCTCTCGCAGCTTCTTCCTTTAATCTCTCTGCTGGGTGAAGGAGCCTGCGAGGCACATAACGGGATTGTGGTCTTCGAATTGATGCAAAAGAAGTTTGTTTCCTGCGCGGCTTTTTGGAAGCTGCAGCATCAAGGGACTTTGGTACACTTTCTGGATCTTCAACTTGACGTTGCGTTCGTCGAATTGCGATAATTTCATTCACATACATGAATGACTGTTCCTTCTCGTTTAGTCTTTCGTACAATCTAGCGAGCTCCATTCTTGCTGGGATGTTATCCTCTTCCATTTGTACTGCATTTTGAAAACAGAGTTCGGCCTCTTGATCGGCTTTCTCAGCAAGCCAACAATTCCCCATCTTGAGTTGGAGCGAGGCACCTTCGGCACCAGCACCTGGTGCCAAAGGCAGGTAGTAATCTAAGGCATCCTTATTATAACCTTTTCGAGCCAAGTTATCCCCGACCTCCTCAAACAGGTGAGGGAACTCTTCAATAAGGCCTTGACCGTTGTAATCCGAGGTTTTGAGATAGTTAAAATGGCGCTGAGGTAGTTAGTGACACTTTCTAATGTGAAATGGTGATCTGGCTTACCAAAGCTTCCATATAATGACCGAGGGATAAGCGATATAGCCCGAGTTTGATTCGTAACTCGACGGGGAGTCCTGGACCATATGTGTCTACCGGGTATGTTTTGGCATCAAATTGAGGGCATTCAGATCTTCTGATGTCATCGTCGTCCCATTCTCGATCATCATCGATGAATTGATCCCAAAAGTCCTCCCCCTTTCTTCCAACTAACCAACGAGCTACTGACCTGAGCTCTTTGATGCCATCCTTGTATTTTTCCAAGAGACCGAACAGTTCGACGTAAGCATAGGCGTCTGTCACCAAGACTGTGTCAGTTTCTACATCAGCTTTTTTGAACTTATTGATGGTTTTAATGTAAAGTTTCATGGCGACTTCTATCTGCCCCAGATCAACATAAATTGACGCTAACGTCTGGACAACTTCTGTATCCAAAGGAGCACGCTTGAGAATGATCTCATACTCCCTGGCTGCATGATTGAGGTTTCTTCGCTCAAGCATAATGGAAGCTTTGATTCTCCGAGCTTCTAGATCTTGTGAATTTGCTCTGAGTATCTGTTGTGCAGCGTATTGCGCAGATATAAGGAACTCCGATCTCAGATCGCCCGTCTCATTCAAAGCAAAGTATAAAGCGGCATACCAAGGTCCAGGATGCTTTGGCCTCCAAGTGGCAGCAATCATCAGAGCCTTGACAGCCGAGTTGTATTCGCCCAATTCCTTGAAGCATGCGGATAGTAAAGTCCATGCTTCGTAAGTCTCTGCGTTGATCCGAATGATTTCTGAAGCTATGTCTCTAGCCTCTTCGCAACGTCCGTTCAAAAATGCTTGATTGGCTTGACCCAAACGGAGTTTGATGTCACCAGTTGGCTCCGCAGCTTTCCTAGGACCTCTGATACCGGCCTTGCGACCTTTACCGCCTCGAGCACTGCGTCGTTTTCCTTTAGTCTTACGGCTCATCGGACCGTCATCAGATTCATCCGAATCACTCTCTAGATGTCTAGCCTGGCGAACATCATCCTGCATTTTGCGAATACCTCTACCGAATTCCAGGTAATCGGGATCAGAGTCGTCCGACTCATCACTACCAAAAAAGGTCAAATTATTGTTAAAGAAACTTCCTTTACTCAGCTACTCACCCAAGATCCATATCTAGGATATCATCCGCGCCCTCTACCTGCTCTCGTCTTTGTCTCCTCTGTTCCGTACTCATTGCAGCAAACTCGGCTCTTGCATTGTCCAGACCGACATCACCAGTGCCTTGCGCTGTCAATGGGGCGTTGGTCGGCCATATTAGACTTTGGCTTTGGCTTGCTTCTGGGTCCGGATATTGATGGCCTTGACCAGTAGTGAAGCCATACTCCGGCATATCGTCAGGGAAACCAGACATTGTATTAAAGTTTCAATATGTACCGGGACACTCGAAAATGATTACACTAGGCCTTAGATTTTTTATCTGAGATAGAATGGTTTAATGCTTAATATTGCGCAACTGTGGGTGTGTAAGTTGAAGTAAAAGTGTGAATTTCTTAAACGACTTAAGAAATTCAATGTTTTTGGGTTTTGAGAACGTTAGTATGGATGGTACAGGTTAGAGTAAGTGTTTGAATTCATCTCTTCATACGGAATGGATGAAGTAAATTCGAGAATGAATATTTGAATATAAAAAGCATTTTTGAGATCATTCTTTAAGTTATATCAGAAAGCAACAGGCTCGGTTCTAAAAGTCTATAATATATTAGCCTTGCATATGCTTAGCGCAAGGCTGACGGACATTTGGTCGACCGCCTGCCTTAAGCAATCAAACTTTTCCCCACTCAAATTTTGTTCAGAGCCCCGCGAAGAATTAGCTTTCACAAATCAAGAAAGTGTCATCGATCCCTCGAACATCTCATTTTTCCAATCTGCTTTGCCTAAATCTCATTCAAGATGCCCGCTACTACCGCGTCCCTTCCACCCAGCTCAGCCCTCCAAAACATACTCAACACGCAAACTCCTACAACCCCCGATACTCCTCACCCAGTCTACCTACATCATCTCGCAAGTACCATCCTCCAAAATTTGCAATTCCAACATGACTGGACCTCCCTAACTCTGCACACCCACTCAACCGTCACGAAGCTTCCCCTCCCTCGACCTCTGATCTCCGGACTCCCTCCCCGCCGCGCTTATATTCATCCTGACGAACAAGTAGAAATTCTCAAAGCTGAGCATGACACTGGAGAATCTATAGAACAATTTCCTGAGCGTGAATGGGTCTTACCAACACATTTGGACGAGAAATGGAGTTTGGCACGGTTTGCGGAAGTTTTTGATGCGGTGGAAACGGTACCTGAGGGGAAAGAAGCTGAGGGGAGGAACGAGAGTGCGGAAGGGAAGAATGTTGTGGGTGCAAAGTGGCAGGGAGAGAATAGGCAGAAGAGGATTTTGTTGGCGACATTGCATGACGACAGTACGGTTGTGTACTATATCATACACGACGGAATTGTAAAGCCGAGACAGAACTGAAGGACGTCTGATTAGAATGGTCACCCCAGGAACAATCTGGATATCCTCATGCCTCGAGCATGAATACAGCAGAGCAGGGATCTTTAAATTTCCAGCGTGCAAGACTTACCGAGACCTGGACATCAAATCTAGATCCTCAGTTCCTTTATTCGCAGGGCCTACCCGTCATCCCAGTACCTTCTAATAAATACTATTCAAAAAGCCGAAAATCTCGTAATAGCCATGGGACAACAACAAGGCGCGTTCTTCTCGTGCCATTCTGCGGGAGAAATCAGGCAGTACATCAAATGGAGCAGACGTTTTGGACATGGGAATATGGATTATACTCTATATCAAAATCCATTGAGATCTGGCATCCTGGAACTATTGGATTTGAATCCGACGGCAATACCGACATCATTCTATCATATATAAAGTATCTACTGAGGAGGCAGTCCGCAAAAGCCGTTTAAAAAGGAACATGCATGTCACAATCTTGTGGGTAGATCTCATACAGTCATTATCCCCCAAGACTTGGAGCGCTTCAGATGCTTCGAGCTCGTGGGAAGATATATAGCACATCAAAAGAAGAACAGACATGGAATAATCGAAATATAGATGTGCTTCCAATGTTCAGATACATTCAACAAGCTCATTATAGCAATTTTCCCGACAGTCTATCTCACGGTCTTACCTGGAACTTTATAAAATGAGGCCATGCCCTTCCCACAACGAATCATTAAGCGTAAGCTCGCGCCGTAGCTTAGGTCTCTTTACCATCACTAGCATCATAGCCACTATAATTTTCAGAGCTCTCTCTGCGCAGCACACTTTATCTGTGCAGGGTATCCGATATACTAGCAGCTGCATCCAATACAAAGTATCCTAGCAATACAACAAATCAAAATATACATCCAAGACAACAATTCATACCATACCATACCATATCATATCATTGTATATGTATTCTGTATGTATGCATGTATCAAAAACATAATGACCAACCAGTTCAGTCTTTCAAAGAAATTCCCTTTTCCCTCAATACCATACTTGTCCATATCAATATCAATATCCATATCGCCATTCCACATTCCTCCATCCTTTCATACCTATGAATCATGACATTCTCTTCCCATAAAACACCGTCTCACCTGTAAAGTAAAATAAAATAAAGTAAAATAAATCCCACTCCGACAGACTGCCCTCGAATCTGAACTCCGATCTGAACTCCAGGTGTGTATATGTGTGATCATGTGTGCCAAAGAAGCCTTGCGCAGATGCTCCCTTTCCATTTCCGTTTTCATGCCATTTCACTTCCATCTTCCTTCTCATCCTCATCCCCGGCCCTCCCCTCGCCCCCTCTCTTTCAACATCGCACTTCATCAAATCATATCACGCTCTAAACAATCTCTCGCCATCCCATCCCATCCCATCCCATCCGATCCGATTGCATTCCCTTCCCCTTTCCCTCTCACCAGCCCCTACAGAAGAACTCCACCATACGGCTCCTCCCCGAAGCAAACCCTAACTAACATTACACAACAGCTCAGCCTCCAAAATAAACTTCCCTTCCTTATACTTCTCGCTCGCCTCATACGCCTTATCGTATTTCCAGCCCACCGTCTCATTACACCGTTTACAAGTGATATCTCGCACGATATGACGTCCGGTCGTCATATTGCGTTCGGAGGGTTCACCGGGGACGATATTGACCACGGTACCGAAGAGATAGGCTTTGCCGTGTTGGCCGCGGAAATTCTGTTGTAGGGAGAGAGAGAGGTTAGTATAAGTGATGTGAGAGAGGATGGGGAGAAACGGGAAGGGGATAACGAAAGGACTAGGGAAATGAGGTGTTGAAGTTCAAGAGAAGAAGGAATTACTCACCCGTGAAATAATCTCATCGTGCGTGCTTAAATGCGTCTTGCAGCCTTTGCAGCCGTATATCTTGTCGCTGTTTAAGTACGTATTGTATGAAAGACCCATCGTTCGCTGTGAATTTTTTATGTCTCAAATATTCTCGTTCGTTTATCTTGGTTGTTCGATTGCAAATCCGTGAGGGGGAAGGTAATATCTAGCTGTTTAGATGTAGTTTAAGTAGGAATCAAGAGCTAGCTGTGCGATACGATGCGATGCGGTGCGATGCGATCAGATGAGATGAGATGTAGGATTTAGGATGCAGGCGTGTGTAAAAGAGCAGAGAAACAACGCGGAAGTATTTGTATTGTATTGTATTTTATCTAGGCGGAGAGAAATAGGTTGCGAAAGAGGTCGGTCATCCAGTCAGATTTGCTTGTCTTGCTTGTTTTGCTTGTAGTAGGTTAAACAAAGTATTGAAATAAATGCGTCGGCTGGTGTCGGGCTTTTGCCTTTCTGACAAGTAATCTCAAGATTTGCACACTATGTTTCCCGAGCTTAGATGTTGGGTTCAGGAGAAGAAGAGTACTAGGTATCACGTATGCATGTAAGGTGTTCAAAGATCCGATGGATGGCAGGCGGTTGTTGAAGTTGATGTTGACTGCAGGTGCCTTTATCGCTCCTTATCGCCCTTATCCTATTAGCGTTACCTAGACGGTATCTTAGCGTGAGGAGTAAGGAAGTGATGACTTAATCAAATGACCTTTGAGTCCACCCCGGAAGCAAAATAGAGAGAAATACCTACTGGAGGAGGCGGTTAATGTCCTTTAATGAATCAGCAATGACTTCTTGACGGTTAATTGGCTCCTAAGAGTAATTTCGGACAATAGATGGTAAGACCAAAGAATACCTAGGTACCTACGTCTCTAATTGAAAATTTCGGATCTTTCTTCTATCACTTTCCCATTCACTTAACCTTGGATTATTCGATCATTCGAGCTTTCTCGCTGTGCTCTATTCCACGAGCGACGATCAGCCAGACTCAGTATGGATTTTGATGTCATTCTAGAATTCGCAGTGAAAAGCACAACTGAAGAGGGTACAAATAACAAGGTAAATTTCCATGTTGTGGGAACAATCCAAGGCTAATCTCTATAAAACTTCTATATGAACAATTTCATAGCATATCACAACATAAATCGTGGTGGCACATGAATCTATGATTCGTTCATCATATGTGCTTTCCAGCTACCTACATACCCGAGCCAGGACCATGAGCCTGATATCCAGCCAGATCATATCCGTCATTCCACACATGGTTGTTCCGTCAACTCCTAAAATACACAATGAATGCCTCCAAATCCCGTCATTGTGTATGAGATTATCATTTCCATACGGGAACAATATTATCACAAAACGCAAACTATCTCTTTGGGCTTACCACGAGAATGCTTCTTCAATGAAATCAATATTTCCAGAATATTGATGTTTACGAACCGCGCTTCGAACATCATCACTGAGTGCTCCACTACCACAGACCGTGACGCCCATGGCACCCACTTGGTTCTCTATTTCAGTCTCCATCAAGGTGTCAATATTGGGTCTACCTGGGAACATCTGTACAGTTGCAGATGGACTGTGAATCTCCTTAGTAGATCTTGGTCGACTGATGAATAACATGATTCGAAGGACTTCACGACGTTTCTCCATAGCGAGAATTGAAGTCATCCATGGTCTAATCCACTCGAGATGCTCTGGTGATTGTATAGTCCAAACTAGAACAATCTTTCGTGCGGCCACGGTTCCATTGGCATAACCAGCAACGAGGTCACGTACATGTGGAACTTGGTGAGTGATACCAACACCTCCTGCGAATAACATAACTGTTCCATAAGAATGCATCATATGCATTCCTCCATAAGGGCCTTCAGCCCAGCACTTGGTATAGAGTTTTCCATCGGGAGAAGCCTCCGCTTTCTTGTAAAGCTTTTCTGTAAATCCAGTTCGGGCTCGAATGACGAAGGACATGGTTGTCTTTTGCATAGCTAAGATATCTTGGCGGTTCATTGCTATCTTTTCATCTGATAAATCTTCTGCCTCTTCTGACCAAGCGACCGAGAAAGGATGAGATTGGAATAGTCCAATCGATGGCATGTAAAGATAGGCATGTTGTCCAGGCTTGAACTTCCATGGTCGTGCCATATCAACGGTAACTCGAACAGCATTTCCTGGAAGGGCTTCCACCAATGTTTTGGATGTACCCTTTCCGAAGTTTCGGTACGCAACTGTAACTATTCTGTATACACGTTCTGTAATCCAAAGGATAATGGCTCCCCAGAGAAGTTTTAGTTGTGGAAGATCCTCTAACTTCAAGTGATAGTAGATACCGATGATGAAAATGATGACTAGCGCAATGTGAAGGTATTTGAAAATTTCATATGCGGCATGGCGAACAGGCGAGCTAGCCTGTATCATGATTACAATAGAAGCGATCGTGGCCTGCCAATTTTAGCACAATCCCCAATGATTTGCAAAGGAAGAACTTACGATGGCGCCATAAGTTAGGAAAGGGCTTTTCGCGATCGATGACCAGACTGCGGACCAACCGGAAGTGTGAACTTTGGAAGCAGCCCAAGCGGCAACATGTGCGATAACCTGAAGAGTTACGATACGTCCAGTCCATCTGTGCAAGAGATTGAATGTATCGAAAGACATGTTAAGCCAGTTAATCAGAGGATTGTTTCGCGCCGCCATGATGAAGAGAGGAATCTAATAGATGGTCAGCACGTGACGAACATATGGACTCCTCGTTCTTCAACCTACCATGTTAATAACGGCGAGAATACCGGTTCTATTCCTAAGCTGCTGCGCGACTGAAGTATACGTTTGATCCCAGGTAATGCTAACAGCACAGAACGCAATGTTTGTTCCGAAATAGGCCAAGAGGAAGGCAAATTGAAATCTGGTTGGAAGCGTACCAACGTTGACGGCTCTTCCTATTTGAATTTCCCTATTATGCCTTTTTCCCAGGATAGGAGCATAAAGGACATGCTTCTTGAATCTTGCAAAGCCAAAGGAAGGAATAGCAAAGTATCTCTGAGTCTCGTTGTTGAGTGATGCCAAAGTTCGCACATATTTGACCGACTCAATCCCGACTCTCCAAACTACCATAGCCGCGATCAAGGAAGCAAGAACAATAAAGATGTAATCATGAAAATCCTGGTTGAACATGGCCGCTTTGGCTTTAAGAGCCGTGGCGGCAGCAGCAGAAGCTTTTGCCTCGGGCGTAGTTGGTGTGGTTGAAGTATAGCTTCCAGATGCTGCCTCACCAGCCACCATCTTAGCCATGGCGAGAGCAGCCACAAATATCGAAGAGGAAAACATGTTGTTGTGGAAGATGAGAGAAAGGTCTAGATGTTATATTTCGAGTATGAATGATCGACCTGATAAGTAAGTAATGGTTGATAGGAGATTCAATATTCAACCCGGGCCAGCACGAGATATAAAATTGGTTGTCGTGGCTTATTTCGTTTGTAAATGGACGTCTTGCGTCGTTGGATATTGGATAAGTGAATGAGCGAGAGATAATTCCGTGTATGACCAGCGAAACACAGTAATAGTTGTCTAGGGGATCGAAATGGAAAGAAGGGTAGGTTAAGGAATGTAAATGAACCAAAAAAATGTCCAAGAAAGGCGTTGTCCAGACGTCGCGGGAAGAAAAAGGTCTTCGAAGGTTGGTTTTAGCAAAAAAAGGTTTAATAAAAAAAGGTGAGAATAAAAGAAAAATGGCTAAAGTTTGAATTTGTGGAGGTGGGTGGGATATTTCGTGTTTGGATCTTGGCGCTGAACGTCGGAATGTATCATGTATGTTAGTTAGATGTGTACCTGTTCCTGAATGAATGGATCCCGATTCCCAAATCTCTTCTTTTTGATAGTGGATGTGTGTGTGTGTGTGTGTGTGTGTTTATTATGCACTGTGCGGGGAAAGAAGAAAATAATTTTATTATTTATTTATTTATTTATTAGACTAGGCGCTTCATATACAGTAGGTTACTGTTGTACAAGTAGATAGATAGATGGGATATAGGATATTCGGAAGCCGTAGGAATAGTTGTATGAGACACTAGAAGTTGCAATTGAAATTGATGACGGGAGAATAAATTTTAATTCTAGATGATTGTGAGAATGGAAATGAAAGTAAAAATGAATGATATTCTTTTTAGATTCGAAATTGTATTCCTGATTGAATTTTCGATTATTCATTCATTCATTCATTCACTTACTTACTCTTTCCCCTTCATTTACAACGTATACCCTTAAGTCAGAATTAACACCGAATTATTTATCTATTCATTCAAAAAATCAAAATAAAATAAAATAAAATACTAAAAAATTAAACCTTCTCTCAAAACCTTCCTTACCTCTCTCCCCTCCCTCTCATAAACAATTTCAAGACGAGGAAAATGAACGTGGATGATGCCGCCCCCTTGGATTACGTACCGTTGTGTTTGTACAGGGGTAAATGTGGTGTTTGCGAGGGGATTGGATGGGATGGCCTGGGTACTTGGTCAAGGGCTTGTGTGCTCTTGTTTGGGCTACCGCTTGCTTGCTGGGCTGGCTGCAAGGTACAGATTCGAATGTATAGGCAGGCACGCATGTACAGGTATGTACGGACAGAGATTTATTTGATAGGCCTTGGCGCGCTGTTGGGAGTGGTGTTGTGGGTTTGCTAGGTGTAGCGCACGCTTGGGAGGTTTGGATGATGGATTGATGGATGGATGGGTGGGGAGAGGAGGGGAGAAGTTTGAATGCGGTCTTGAGTTTGAATAATGATGATGATGATGATACGCACCTATGGAGTGGAGGGGTGCATACTGTAGTAACAAATACCTATAAAGAGCAAGGATTATGGTTCGCCTTATAGCCCGCACTTGTCATAGAATGTCACATCGTCTCATCTTATCGTATCGCGATGCTAAAATGGGTCTGGGTATGGGGCTACTAGGTTACGTACCTATTTACAGTGCTCGAGGCAGGGTAACTTGGTTTTGGTTTCTTACCGGTGATGGGTGGTTGAAGACCCGATGTCTGGTCTCATGTCTAGATTGTATATACTATAGATGATGATGAGAGTTATTTGATAGAGGTAGGTAGGTTTTCTCGGCATCTACATATGTTGGGGTTCCTCACGATACACAGAATGTACACAGAATGTTGTGGTTGTGGTCTGGATTTGTGAGATGCAGGTTTAGATTGATTATTAGATGAATAAGGTAGGATGGTTTTTTGGGGTTGATTTTGATAGGATGGAGCGTGATGCGACGGGATGGGATGGGATAGGATGATACGTTAGCTATTCCTGGTGAATTTTTGTACGGAGTATATTCTCGAATTTGAGACTTGCAAGGGCAGACAACGAGGTTGTATTTATCTAGACCCCTTTATCTGTGGCTCAGAGGGTGTACATATTGGTTGCCCACAACCACACCTCACCTCACCACACCTAGTAAACGAACCACAAATATCAGGTCTTCAGCTTCCTGACGACCATTCAGCAAAATCGAAAAATAAGCTAGTATACAAGCAATAAATCAATAGATGACTCAAAAAAATCTGGTAGATTGGGGTTTATCGTGTAATCAGGCAGATTTTCTACATGTGGAAATTTGCGATGCAGTCGTCGTTTCAGAAATTCGTAAAATGGAGTCTGTGTGCAGAAGCGAATGGGATGGGAATGACATGCTTAGGAGTTGGTAGATGCTCGGAACCGAAAGTGAAGGGATGTAGCGAGGGTATTTGTTCATGCAGGGACAGGCCCCTAATGTTGTTATATCGTTCTTTTCTACTGGTAGATTATTATTTGTATAATTTTTAAGATTTTTAAAAAAAGAAATAGAAACTAATGTTAAAGTGAATGGTTCCTGCGTAGCACGTGCACAGGGCACTAGTCCTATTAGGACTAGATTGAGAAGCTCTCTGTAGGAGAGCTTCGCACTTCCGTAGAACTTAGATAATGAGTGATTTATATACAAGACCAATATAGCCTCAGTTCTGCCCTATCAGCTTCCCACTATTCCCTGTGTAAGGTCATGTTACGAGGTTTGCCGTCTAGATCACGTGGAAGTGCTCTAGGCTCTCGAGGTAGGTTTATAACTAGGCGTCAAGTAGGGACTTAAAGTAATGACAATAATAATAAGCTATTCGTAACTAATAGTAGAGTATACTAAATTATTGATCTTGAGCACGAAGCTCTATACAAAGGAAATCCATCTTGATTATATAGACCTTCATGCTTCTATGATCACTACTGATCACTTGTAATCACGTGCCTTGGTCATGTAATGGTAGTTGTGTAGCCCGTCGTAACAATAATTTTCTATTGATCTCAAAAACCTTACTCTATAATAGGAAAATTATATTTTTCGTCCCTTGAATTTATATATTATAATACCTACCTAGGAATAGATAGACGTTCGAGAAGAACAAAGAATCTCCTTTGAGTAAGTGAATCCACTGGATAATTCATTTTGCGATGGAAGAGCATATATGAAGTGTCCCAGCTTTATTAAAACTTAGTTAGATGCATGTAAGAACGATAAGACTATACATTAGCGTATACTGGCCCTAATGTAGGTGGATTAACAATTTAGATTAAAATACTCCGAATGGTTCCTTGCAGTCAGAGTCACTTTGATTAATCACTACATCTCTTCCTCCCAGCGTCAAGACCATCCTCTAGGATTCTGGTTGTCGCAATGCTGGTCATTTATGGTCCATCATGGGATGATCCTTTATCGGTATTTCATCGGTAGAAGAGCATCTAGAATCTAGAATTTAGAAGCTAGAATTTTATTGATGATATGGTCATGATCATCACGCTGTCACGCTGTAAAGCGGTCGGTCTATCACCCATAGTGTTGGTACCAACAACTCCCTAGCACTCTAAGTACTCTATAGTTTTAGCTTTCAATCTATTATCCGATCATTCCATCTACTGCCAGTTCCCTCAAATCACATCATCTATTCACGCATATATTAATACTCAAATACGGAAGACTACCGCTGCCATATGCATTCTATTCTTTAAATTCACAATCACACATGAAAATGTTTCTTCCTCCAACCTACCATCACCACATACGAAATTACTAATCCTGATCGCCTCTTCCTATGGCCCCTTGGAGAAAATCAGACGAACTCACTAATTATCAGACAACACAAGTGATTAATTGCTACGTGTAGCGCAGCATCACCATGATCCTTTCGTCCCATAAGCCTCACCTGTATTAGACCTCTAACCTGCTGCATCTACTGTACTCCTATTCCATATAAACCAATTCTTATCCATTATCTGCAGCAATCCTTATGAGATCATCTATTCGGTACTCCTAGTGTAAGGTTACCAAACACCAGAAGCAAAAACAAAAATGTTCCGATACGAACATGAAGTTACCAAGTTCTACTATTTCTCAAACAACAATTTCATGACAGAAATAAGCACGCAATATGACACAGTCCAAGAAAACGTAACAATTCCAGAGCTTTTCATCTAAACTTTCCCAGAATTCTTATTTATCGTACAGCCTCCTAACCTAAGCATACACCCAACTTTTCAAGGAATCAAGATAATTCACCAAATGAATTTTTGCTTGTCCACATCGTTATCGACTGGGTAACCCATTTCATATTGAAACCTAATATAAATAGAGTACTCAATATCCTTCTCGCGCAGAGAAACACGCTCGAAAGCTAAGCCTCCCAAAGACGCTCCAAATTTATGGGTCGGGGCTTAGGAAAGTATGAAATGCACGGCGACGAGGATGGATTTGAGTTTGCGAGTGGCGTGTGATATTGTCACGGTTATATAGCATTAACCTTACAAGTATAATGATAATATTTCTTTTATATTTCTATCTATATAGTAGGATCTTGGAATTACCTACTAGGTATATACATATCTCCAAATTCTTTAATCATTGGTCTCGATCCATAACCAAAATAAGCCCAAATCCTCGAATTTCTGCTCTACTTCCTCTTGTTACAGCTCAAATCAACGTGCACATACACCCTCCAGAGTCTACACAAAATCTATCTTCCTTCGAATTCCCTTTGCTGTTTCCATTCCGTAGCTTTTCCATCCCGCTCTATTCCTGTAGAACAACTCCCCCGATTCTGGCCTTCCTCTTCCCTTCCTCCAATATCCCCCTTCCCGCAGCTAGAAAACTCCCACCCCTTCGCCACCCCTTTCGCCAGATCTCTTTCTCACTCTCTAAAACCCACCAGATCTCGTCTTTTGTCCCCAATACATCATTCACTCATCCATCATCAATACATCATACACAAAACAAAACTTCTCTCGACCTCTCTACCCCTCTCAGTCCAAACTGCAAATAAAACCCTGACCCCAAGCTCATCCTCTAGCATCCATCCACCTACATAATACTAATACATACGTTTGTACACAAGAATAAAGCATATACCCACCATATGACGCGGAGCAATTCTAACTGGTACTCCAATGGAGACGTTAGATATATATATGTATACACCTACTAGCATATAATATATTCCAAAGTGCCTGCGAGGTATGTTCGAGCTTGGGCTGTAATGTATGATAATGTAACCTTATGTATGATATATTAGAAAATGTTAAATATCTCACAAAAATATATACAAAAACAGCTGGAGAATGGGAGAGAATCATACACCAATTATACGATATCGTCGAGGACTTTCTAACTAATAACTGTGCCAAAAAAAAATTAATAGAGGAGTTATAATTCCCATCGAGATTCCACTTAAAGTTGACGAGGTGGGAAGTACCTACCTAGTAAATATGTCATTATTAGCTTCACGAGCTCACAGACAGACATACGGTAGGAGAAGTCAGTCAGTCACCTTGATCAACCTCATTTCATTTTAAATATGTATTCCATTCTGCGAGAAAACGTTCATATGTACTCCATACATTCAACACTAATATACCCACTATCCGGGGCGTAAATAGCCGCGAGGAGATTCAACCTCCAACACTATACTACACTACACTACACTATACAAGAGCTTTCCTAGCTATGCTTTGTTCCGTGACGCATACAGTAAAGCATTATATACTCCAATATGATAGCTTTCTTGATTGGCAAGCTTCAAGATGCCCACCGTCTACATCCACAAGCACCAATTGCAAGCCTACCTCAGACGTCCGTCTATTATTCTATGCCTCCTTCGCAGAAATTCACTATACACTAATCGTCGCATCTCCAAGATTATTGAGGTCTCTCCATCGTTTTCAATAATGATAATCCTATCCTGGTAATCTGAATGTCTATGATCGTCCCATTATAGATAGATCATGAACGTCGTCTATGCCACAGCTCCTGACCATTGAAACTTATGGTTACACCTCCCACAGAATTTTATTTATACTTCTAAAATGGTAGAGTAACCGTTTCGCCAGACCTGCCGTGATTTAAATCCGTAGATTTCAAATGAAACGTCATAGTTTCACAAGACATAAGTACCCAATTTCGTTGTAAAAAGATATAGCAGGTGTACTTCCTTCTCATATGCCCAGTTCATCTTCGCTGAGTGACTCTTCTTTGCAATTGATGGTTAGGCTCGCTTTTTGGGTTTTTGTCTGAAGCTTCGATCGACGTCGGGTTTCTGCGTTTTGAAGATTTTTCAAAACATGGGTATTTTCAGAAGATTCATAGCTGGAGTTGAGCTCATCATCACTGCTTTCACAATGCCAGACATAAAAAGCAGCAGCCTTCTGTCGGCGTGTTCTCTTTTGAGGCCTTGACGGTAGTTGCATCTCTGGCTCACCCGAATGATCATGTTTATTGACATCGCATTGCCTCTTAACCCCTCGATTTAATTGCACAGGCCGTTGTGAGCGGACCGAAGGTGATTCAAAATCGACCTCGTCACTCTGAAAGTTGATAGGTATGCTCTTAAACTTGCTGTTATTGCTAGCAGGCGTTGCTGTTACCCAAGAGCTTATACCCTCTTCCCACCGGAAAGCTGCTGGTTCATGGTAAGCCTCTTTCCTCCCCTTGCCAGGTCTTTTCGAGCTTTCAGCATGAAGTTCGCCATCCAAAGAATCCGCGTAGTCAAGATATTTTTGGCCCGGTGTTGCTTGCGCGAAAGCAAATGCGCTATCCACGATAATTCCATGCCAAATAGCCCTCGTCTTTGAGCCTCTACCCGCAATAACCATCTTTAGCTTCCGATGTATGTCTTGGAGATATTCAAAACCAGAGGTAGAGGCCCCTTTACCACAGCAACGAGCCACAGAAGATAAGAAGCTCACAGCCTCATTGTACAAAGTCTTATGGGCAAGCCTAGAAGGAATTCCAGCACTTAGATTTTCATCATCTGTATCGTCTACATACATTTGACACAAAGGATCGATGATGAGGTCTGACGTATCCTCTGCATTAGACCTCGTCACTAAACATGCCAAAAGTAAAATGGTACTTTGTAAATCTGTCTCCTTAGCATTGCGCCTTATGAGTCTCACGCAGTCCTTCAGAAGCTTTAAATGTGTGTCGCTAATCGTGGTGGTACGACTAGACTCCTTTATCTTATGTACTGTTAGAGACGCTAAAGGACTGTCGGCTGCCATCGGCTGGCTTCCTACAATTTCATTCCCGGACGTGGATTCAGACATTTTCCACTCGTGTGCGGCTTCAAATCTTTGCTCATCTCTGCCGAGCAGGATGATAGATGAGATTGTTGTTAGCACGGTTAATAATGTAGATCTGCACATCTTATAGAGGTCCGCATCCGACGAGAAATCAGATGATGACAAATATTCCACAAGACACGGCAGGATGGTGTTCATTAACATCGCAGCATCTGCTCTCGCATGATCCAACAATAGGTCCTGCATCAAACCATTCCAAATTGGAGTAAACGCTGCAGTTGCTACCCATGGAAGCGGAAGAGTTCCATTTTTAATTAATATGGAGATCTGTCGATATTCATACCAGGTACGATTCGTCACTTGGACGAATTTTCGAATTTTTGATAGTGGCCCATGTGAGACATGATCTGAAAAACATTTGGTTGGAGCAGGAAACTTGTATGCTGAAAGTAGACTTGATAGTATTAGTTCTGCTTCGTCGTGATGCCCTGAATATATACAAAGATCGACGAGTATTTCACAGAAGTTGAATTCCAAAAGATCTTCCAAAATTGCATCGCGAATTATTTGAACACCATGCGGTCGGACTACACTTTGAAGATGTTTCCAACCACGACCACATGAACCAAACAACTCGAGGTCATCATATACTTCTGTAGATATATCCCTCTTCTCGATGGCCGAATAGGACCCTACTCTTTGAATCTCACTATATAATAACTCTTCCTCCATGGTAATGTATTTTGGTACTGTTGCGAGACACAGGGATAGTAATGACTTAGGTCCCTTTTCATGACCCTTTGGTACAATAGGATGGGTTGCCCTAAGTAATGCTTCGAGACCATTATAAATACCTTCATAGATGTTGAAGCGAGCAGGACTCATCGTATTGCGAATTTTGCACAATGCTTGGGATCCTATAGTGTGCGTCTTGCTGGCCCCCAAAACTCGAGCTTTAATTTGCCTGTCAGAAACTGAAGCTGTGCTCATTTGTTGGCAATGCCCGGGAGCAGTTCCTTTGTAGGGTATTGGGCGATATGGTGAGGCGGATTTTCTCCAAGCCCGGTTGAGTAATGGCGTTGGAACCACAATTTCTCCAGGGACTGATGAGCCTCTGCCATTCGAGGCTACTCTGGCAAAAGGTTCCGTATTGACAATGGGTTGCTCCGATCTTTTGGTACCCGTCCTTCCAGAGTATTTCCTTTTAACTCTCTTCCGCCCAACCCAGTCTGCATTATTATTGGTAATTTCCTGGCTTGATGTGTCAATGTTTGGATCAGAAACCAATTTGCCCTTTTTAGATTGAACTTTCATGCAGTTAAGAGAGTCCTGTTTAGCCTTATGTAAAATTGCAATTCGAGAGGTCAAAGGTCGTAACAATCGATTACACCGAGCTGCAGTCCATTCTCTCTCAGCATCCGGACCAAACCTCCCATCATTCAATGTTGATTCTTTGCGTCGCACTGGAGTGAAACTCCCCGAGACGGTTTTTAACCCCCCATGCTCCATGATATTCATCTAAACTTCAAGTCATCAGTATTTGGAATTTTCTCAGAATAAATTTGAACAAACTGCTTATTTTGAGTTTAACGCATCAACCAATTTCTGCGCAACATCCGTAAACAGAATAGCAACTATCATAGCAAATAAGTTAAGGAATGGAAGCCTGTTTGAGTTGTTCTGATATTGGTAGAATACAGAGCAATAATTTATAGAAAGAAAAGCAAAGGAAATTAAGAGTTGCGTGCAATAGAAAGGTATGCGAATTATGTTATGTTGTTTGTTGATGTTTTTGAGAAATTGAAAGTAAACAATCAAGATGGTGATGTCAACAAGGATTGTCATATTTAGGCAATGTCATATGCATCGTCCATACGGGCCGGGTTTTTCCGTCTGCTCAATCTAAATTTTGTACTTTCCTCATTGGATTTGGAGAAAATAGAAAATAGAAAATCGAATAATTTTATTCTTCACTACATATCCTACCCATCCATACGCACAGGAGGGGTTTTTTTCTTTCTCTCTACCACTTCAGATCTGTACAACAACCTCAACGAAGTGCTTCTTGAATTCCTGCATTTTTTGTGTTTGGAATACTTGCATCTTCTCCTCTCGTCATCATTGTATTATACTTTAGAAAGCTTTACGGTACAAAATGGCTGCAACGAATGAGGTTATTCCAACTTCCGGTAAGCACCTCGACCAACTCAAAACTTTTTGGGCACTTCAAAATTCATGTTTACACCAAAAATTCTTCAATTGATCTTTTCAACTCAATGTGTGCCCTACTATTAGTCATTTACTGACATTCACTGTATTTAGAAAACCCTTCGGATGTTTCAGGTAGCTCGCAAAAGCTTGCCACTGAAGAAACTGCCTTAGCTAATGGCGTTGACCATGAGGAGGAAGATAGTGGGGAAGCAGGTGGCGAAGGTAGGATGAGTTGGCAGTTTAAGAAATTGATATAGTTTTTATGCTAATGTGAGAACGCAGTCTTTCAATTGACCGTGGTCCTTCCCCGCGAGCCCCATAAAATTCCCATCATCGTGAGTGACCCCTCACCACACTTATTGGCTTCATGCTCAAATAGCTAGGTTTCTTCTCAAGAAGCTATACACGATGTCCGTCAATCAATAATCGAGCTTCCCGGAACCTTCCAGTACTCATGTTTCCATCTCGAGCATAAAGGGGAGAGGATAAACGACTTCGTTCAGATTTCCGAGGTCCCTGGATTAACAGCAGATTCAGAAATCCATTTGGTCGAAGATCCATATACAGAGAAGGAAGCGAGGATACACATCGTTAGAGTTCGGGAGCTGATTGGTGCGGCCGGCGATCGTACCGATACCTTGAATGGTATTATCTCAGGAGTGTCACTGCTTGATTCAGTTACATCAGCAGAATCAACACAAAATGGAACAAGCACGGCCCCTTCACATCCAATGGTTGGATTTGATTTCCAAGCTTCCGGCACTCTCTCAACGCTCCTTCCAAAAGCACAAGAGCCAGGGCCAAAAACTATCAAGTCAATTTCGGTCTCACCTTGGAACCCTCCGCCCTACCATCTTAGGCAGAAGGGACATTTGCTCTATCTACAGGTTACTACAAACGAGGGGGAGCAGTTCCAAATCACATCTCACGTATCTGGCTTTTACGTAAATAAATCTTCAACGGGCAAATTCGATCCATCCCCAAAATCTGCTCCAAAAGCCCATTCCGCGCACTCACTTTTAGCACTTCTTGGTGACTTATCTCCATCATTTGAAGACTCTTTCAAGCGTCTTCAAGAGTACAACAATACCAAGGAACCTTTGGCTACATTCCAAATCACGAACGCAACTCCCTCGAACCCATGGATTGTGCCATCAGCCTCGGCACCCCTTGTTGCGCACCAAGCGGATATCACGCGCACTCAAGAAAATTATCTCATTGCTGGTATCGAGAATAGCGAAACCTTGCGAGATTGGAACGAAGAATTTCAGTCTACTAGAGAGCTTCCAAAGGAAACGGTCCAGGATCGTGTCTTCCGGGAGCGATTAACCTCGAAGTTATTCGCCGATTATAACGATGCCGCTGCTCGTGGTGCGATCCTAGTTGCTAGAGGTGAAATAGCCCCTCTCAACCCAACTGAAGGCAAAGACGCTCAAATTTTCGTTTACAATAACGTTTTCTTCTCCTTTGGAGCAGACGGGGTGGGCACCTTTGCCTCAGAGGGTGGCGATGAGGCCGCCAGAGCAGCGGTAGGCAAAGATGTAATGGGAGTTCGCATGGTTAACCAATTGGATATTGACGGCCTTTTCACACCAGGGACCGTTGTTGTTGACTACCTTGGAAAGCGTATCGTTGGACAAAGTATCGTGCCAGGGATCTTCAAACAACGTGACCCAGGCGAGAACCAAATTGATTATGGCGCTGTGGATGGCAAGGACATAGTCGCATCAGATGAGAAGTTTGTGTCTGTTTTTGAGAAGCTGTCCAAGGCTTTGAAAGTAAAAAAGCATGCTGTTTGGGACAAAGATGGAAAGCGTCATGACCTCGAAGGAAGTATCGAAACCAAGGGTCTTCTAGGGACTGACGGAAGAAAATACGTTCTTGACTTGTACAGGGTTACACCATTGGATATTACTTGGATGGAGGAAGTTGGTACCGCACTTGATAGCCCCAAGGAAGCCGATGTAGCAAGTGAATCTGCATATCCACATCGCATGACAGTCATCAGACCTGAGCTAGTCGAAGCTTACTGGAAGGTCAAGATGCGTGAATGGGTAAACGGTGAACTGGAACGTAAGCGCCAAGCGCAGAAGACAATTGAGCCTACTGCCGAAGAGAAGGAACCTGGAGCTGTAGCTGAGGCATCTGAAGCATCTAAAAGCGATGAGCCAACCGAGAACGGCGAATTAGCCAAAAAAGCAGACGAGTCCGACAAAGACGCCGAACCTAGCAAGCCTGCAGCCGATCAAGAAAGAATTGATATTGGTGATTTCAAGTTTGCATTGAATCCGGATGCTTTTAGTGGTCAACAGCCACAGACCGATGAGGAAAAGGCCGAGTTTGCTGAGGATGAACAGCAAGTGCGACTAGTCTGTGAATTCCTTCGCAAGACTGTGTTACCCGAACTTGTCAATGATCTCAAGGAAGGTGATGTTGGATTCCCAATGGATGGTCAATCTTTGAGCAGACTCCTTCATAAACGTGGTATTAACATCCGATATCTTGGCCAAGTTGCAACTCTTGCGGATGGAAAGAGACTCGAATCTCTACGCATCTTAGCAGTCCAGGAGATGGTGTCAAGAGCATTCAAGCATGTCGCTGGAAACTATCTCCGTTATCTTCCCATTCCTTTGACAAGCTCTTGTATTGCTCATCTCCTCAATTGCTTGCTCGGCACAGACTTGAACGCAACTCCAAAACCAGACGTGGATGAGGCCATGGCTGCACTTTACCCTGATGCGGATTTGAAATTCAAAGAAGTCTCGCCCGAAAGTCTCAAACGTGATATTGAGGCTCAGATTTTACGTCGCTTCCGTTACACACTCGACTCAACTTGGACCGCGGCTATCAAACATTTGCAACTTCTCCGCGAAGTCTCTCTGAAGCTTGGTATTCAATTGGAGATGAAACCTTACCATTTCACAAAACAATCGCAAACTGAAGCTGCAGCGGCTCCACCAACGACTAATGGCGAGGCTACAAAGGATGCGGCCCCTACTGGAAAGAGCACCAATGGCAAAAAGAAGAAGAAGAACGCTCGTGAAGGTTCTCCTGCATCTATTACGTCGGTCAATGCTTCATCTCCCGTCACCTTCAACCCAGATGATATCCTCAACACTGTACCAGTCATCAAAGAGGCATCTCCAAGGAGTTCGCTTGCAGAAGAAGCTTTGGAAGCTGGACGTATCTCTCTTCTTCAAGACCAAAAGAAGCTAGGACAGGAGCTCTTGTTAGAATCTTTGTCCTTGCATGAACAAATTTATGGCATTCTTCACCCTGAGGTGGCAAGAGTGTACAACTCCTTATCAATGCTCTATTACCAACTCGACGAGAAGGAGGCTGCTATGGAACTTGCCCGCAAGGCTGTTATTGTTTCCGAGAGAACATTGGGCGTTGATAATGCTGAGACACTTTTGAACTATCTCAATCTTGGACTCATTGCACATGCAAGTGGAGAGACGAAGTTGGCTCTTACTTACATCAAGCACGCTTTAGATTTATGGAAGGTTGTCTATGGTCCAAACCATCCTGACTCTATCACCACAATTAATAATGCGGCTGTCATGCTGCAACATTTGAAGGAATACCATGATTCTCGCACGTGGTTCGAGGCATCATTGAAAATTTGCGAGGAGGTGTACGGAAAGCACTCCATCAATGCTGCAACTCTACTTTTCCAATTGGCTCAGGCTTTGGCATTGGATCAAGACTCCAAGTCTGCTGTAAATCGTATGCGTGAGTCGTACAATATCTTCCTTACAGAATTAGGTGCGGAAGACAAGAACACCAAGGAAGCGGAGAAATGGCTTGAGCAACTCACCCAAAATGCTGTGTCGATTGCTAAACACGCCAAGGATGTTCAAGCTCGAAGAAACCGGGCCGGTATTCGAGTCTCTCCTCGTGTCACCCTCGGGCAGACTCAACTTCAGCCCCAAGTTGGTCAAACCGCCGAGGCTGCAGCTGGCCGAGACTCTCGCTCATCTAGAGGACTCGATTCACGAAGCATTGATGAGCTCCTCAAGTTCATCGAGGGAAGCGATCAAGCTAACAAAAACAAGAAACGACCTGGACGTAGCAATCCAAAAAGACGAGGTGGTGCCGCTGCCGCTGCTGGCAAATAAGGCATGGGGTCGGAGTACAAAATTTAAAGATTAGCATTGGGCGGCGTAAGAGTTATCACGATTTACTTCATCAACCAATGTATCAACACTCAATTCTCAATCGCCACTTTCCTTTATTTGGCTGCGGAATTGGCCTGTTAGCACTTACGTGTCTACGTTTTACGACCCAGGTACGATGTATAAACGACACTGCCCCTGGGATGAGAGGGTTTATGGGCGGCTGTACATTCGCAGATCATGATTTAAGACGCATCACGGAACAAAAAAAGACATCTTCTCTCCTTCAGTAAATAGACGTTGACCGACCGAATGTTTTTCGCATGTAGTGATTCCTTGAAATGAGTATGGTATCTAGGTATATGTAGATACACGTACATGTGATAGTGTACATAAATTGTGATGATTTATATGTGATTTACATAATATAGAATTGAGCCCAAAATTTATCGACTTTAATGACGAATATGACATATACATCAGTGACTAGATGATCTTCTGTTTAGCTAGCTTGAGCCTTAGTGATCTTGAGTCAGGAAGGAAATGAATGAGTCTTGTGATGACAACCCGGTGAACCCTGGAGGTGTGAGATTTCGACAAGTTCCGGTTGAACTAAGGCCGTCACCGCCTGCCTGCAGGTCTCCGGGCTTTCCCCTTCCCTGGGCTCCACTGCTCCTAATCAATACCCCAATAGATAACGCGACAAAGAGTACAAACGTCAACCACCGCATTATACAACTGCAAATACATCAGATTCAATTACGATTCTCATTAATTACAACCTCACTGCAAAACGAGCGAGATAGTTTTGTGGATGTCATTCTCTGAGTAGTTATTATTTGGTTAACATAGATGGTTACTAGAACCTAGATACACAGACTCATCCGCCCTTCTGTCCATCACTGACCATCAAGATGGCTATCAATCCAAAGGTCCTCATACCGTTCCTGGTGGCCATGATGTTGGTGACTGGCGTGTGCAATACACTCCTCACCAAGTATCAAGTCAGTACATCATCCACATCTATCACTTCAATCTGCTAATAATCATCTAGGACAATGTCTGCGTTCGGAATTGCGACGACCCAAATCCTAAGAAACGAGCATTATTCGAACAACCAGTGATACAGACGGCCCAAATGTTTATCGGAGAGATGGGTTGCTGGCTCTTCGTCGGTGCATTTTCTCTCTACAATCGTTATGTCGCAAAGAACCCAAAGCCCGAAGTGGATGGTTATGAAGCAGTTGATACATATGAAGAAGAGGCCGCGGATAATGATGGTGCCAGTATCATGTCAAGCTCTACTGCAAAGGCATTGGCAATGAACGCGGAGGACAGACTACCGTTGACGGGTTGGAGAGTGCTTCTGTTGGCCTTGCCGGCTATCTGTGATATCTGTGGAACGACTTTGAGTGAGTAACCCGTATTCCAGGCGATTTGGTCGGTTGCATTGGAGGCAACACACGGAAAATCGTCATCATATTTCTAACATTGATTCCTAGTGAACGTCGGTCTTTTGTTTGTAGTGCCCTCGATTTACCAAATGACTCGAGGGGCTTTGGTACTCTTTGTTGGGGTCTTCAGTGTAGTATTTCTGAAAAGAAGACTTCACTTATTTCAATGGTTTGCTTTAGTGACCGTTGTCCTTGGAGTCGCTATTGTTGGTATGGCCGGAGCCCTCTACAAGGATGACAAAGCTGCACCATCCTCAATAGCGCTCGCCCATGAAGCACTCAAACTAGCAGCTAGGGAGGCTAGAACGCCGGAAGCCCTACGCGCCATAATTGGTGTATTTCTGATAGCTGGCGCCCAGATCTTTACTGCTTCTCAGTTTGTCTTGGAGGAATACATTCTAGAAAATTATGCCCTCGAACCTCTTAAAGTCGTTGGATGGGAAGGCCTCTTTGGGTTTGGGGTCACGGTTATCGGTATGGCCGTTCTCCATCTTGCAGTCGGTAGAACTGCAGCAGGAAGATATGGATACTTTGATCTTGTTGAAGGATGGAGACAAGTTACACATTACAAAGCCATTCGGGTTTCAAGTGTACTTATTATGATCAGCATCGGGTAAGTCTCTTCGCATCTACCTATTATTTCTAGCTAACTCGTTCAGTGGTTTCAATTTCTTTGGACTTTCTGTAACGAGAACAGTTAGTGCCACATCGAGATCCACCATCGACACTTGTCGTACGCTTTTTATCTGGATCGTATCACTGTTCTTGGGCTGGGAAACCTTCAAGTGGTTGCAGGTTCTTGGATTCGCATTACTCGTTTACGGTACCTTCCTGTTCAACGACCTTGTCCGACCTCCTATGAAATCATGCATTGTACGTGATGTTGATGAGCTCTTGCCGTAAGTTTAACCAGTTTTTACATATCACACATTCTGGTGTTATAATCTTTCTCAAAGCTCGATATTCTGAATCTTCTTTGTTGTGCACATAAGTTTTCTTTGATAAGACAATTACTGACTTTTTGATCTAGAGAAGAACCCATTGAACATTTGTAAATGCTTTAAGAGCTAAAATGAGGCTCTGGGTATAGGATGATCGAATGAGGATTTTGCTCGGGGAGAACAAGAGATGAAGGGAAACAAAGAGACTAGATTTTTTTAATCCTCTTCAATCTATATTGATAAATTGCAATGAAAAATATGCACGCGTTTTGGTAGTATCGGCTAATCACGGTTGGTTGTTGGTTGGTTGGTTGGAGCATTGGTTGGAGGCGCAAATGGCGTTCAGGGTTCATATGCATGTAAGCTTGTAAGGTCAAATTGCAAAGTGTTGAAGGGATATATATATACGGAGTATTTAAATATATACTTTATTTAAATATAATTATAGGTACCTACCTATATATATATATACCTACATAGATTACAAATATATACTTGCAGTCTTGCACGAATTGGAACGTGACAAACACAAACACAAACCAAAATCTTAGCCTCACAGTGTCCCCTCAATCAATGCATGTATTTCTCGGCTGCACCGCAACGCAGCTGACCAGATTAGGCGGTTCTCGGCTACATGTCATGTTGCCTCAATGGCAATGGGAATTCTTTAATAGAAGGGAAGAGGTGAGATGAGAGAAGAGAAGAGGAGAGGAGAGGAGAGGAGAGTGTTATATTAATAATAAGTTGGCAGATTGGATTTAAATTTTTGGGTTTTTAGGTTTTTAGATTGTTGTGTATTGGGATGGGATGGGATGGGATGAGAGGGATGATAGTAGGTGGTGATATGTGATGTTGATGTGATGTGTATGATGTGATGTGATAGGGGTGGATTTTTTGAATTGAGTTTGGGATTAGGAATTGAGAATGGAGAATGGAGAATGAAGAATGGGAGTTAATTACTATAGTTAGGTAGGTAGGCAGATAAATAGGTAGTTTGATATATTTACTCGTTGCATTTATTATTAATTTGAATACCTAGATAGCTTTTGTTTGTTTGTTTGAATGTAAGATCTTGTATTAGATCTGTTTCGTAAGATTACATTACATTATAATATAATACAATACATTGAATGAATCTTATATATACGAAACCACAAATGAGAATGATAACTACATACATACATACATACATATAAACCCCTTAACTCGATATCTCTATCTAATCTCCATGTATGTAGGTACTCTGTAAAGCAAATCAAATCGCATCGAATCGAATCAGGTTGAATATCGGTAATGGCCCGAATACTAAGTACCTAGGTAGATATAAAGTATATACGAATACAGTACTGCCTATTATCTACTGCCATTCATTATTATTACCTTTCCTTTCTTTTCCTTTCCGCGAGCATAGGAAATACCTCATTCCGACGTCTCGTTGCACTTTATTTAATTTGCTGCGCATTGATTGAATGATTGATTGGATTGATTGATTGATTAATTGGATACTTGAGGCTAATAGGTCGTGCATGCATGTACTCCGTAGTGAAGTGAGGCTCGCTCGCTCGCTCGACCGACCGAGCGAGCCTTTTCGTTTTAGCCGCATTATTATGGATTATGGATGGAGGTCGCTCGCTCTAATGACCGCTTGCTTGCTGGAGAGTGGGAGTGCGGACGCGAACGTGAACGCCAATGCCAACGCCAACGCTGAATTGAAGGTAGGGGTTTGGGTGGATTGTCGGGGGTGTGGTGTGGTGCGGGGTTGGTTGATAGATTTTTTTTTATTTAGATTTTTTTACTCTTGTTATTTTTATTTTGGTGGTGTTTTGTGGGTTTGTGTGGCTGGCAACTGGTACTGGCTGGGAGAGTGGAGGGAGGGTTTTTATTATTAGGTTGGTGCGGAGATGTGTTCGGAGGATGAATGAATGGGTGGATGGGTGTGGAATAGAGTTTGGGTGATTTCGGGAGTTGAGCTTTAAGCATTTAAGCCCGGGCATTTAAAACGGATGAATGAGTAGGTTAGGTGATGAGAAAACGGTATGGTATGAGACGAGATGGGGCGATATGATGGGATAGATAATGTGCTGAGTAAAGTGTAGGAAGTGGTTTCGAATGCTCAATGCAACTATGAATAACATTAATACTCATCTCATTCATCTTATTCGTCTCTATATTACAGTTACACCTGATGCTTGCTGTGTGTGCCTATTGAAGATTTGGCTCAAGTCAAACCTTGAAAAAATAAAGTATTTTCATTTGTGGCCCCTCACTCGCATAAACATCCACCCATGATCGATCCCCTTGTGCAATAAAGCGAAACTACCGGTGCAGCCTCCTTTCTCTCCTTCACAACAGCCGTTAATTCCCAGCTGCACGTAGTAGTAGGGTAGTAATGTATCTTTCTAATCATACCTAGATACCTAGGTCATCTAAGAAGTAAAACATTCCCATGAAAGAAACCTATTCATCATATTAGTATTGAAACATGTTATCATCACGAAGTATATTATTCATTGCTCACTTGAGAATCCAAGCTTCGAGAGGGATGATATCAAGCACAAACTCATAAAAACGTTTTTCGGAAACAAAATGCTCGAGTCTGTAACAGTGCTAAGATTATCTACCATGCGGCGCTTTTTGGCGGCGAAAGTAGTGATGCTACCTACCATGTCCACCTATGAGGATAAGCCACACAAACACCACACAAACACCACACAAATACCACAGAAACATCACACAAATACCACACCTAACTGGAGTGAGGTACATTATGTTGATACAGCGAGCATGATCAACTGTATGGAGTAAAGTATAGTATGTATTATGTATTGACTAAAATACTTTGCCAATGTTTTCTCATCCAGGGCATTACAGGCTGGGAGGTATCTATAACTTGATATTCATCATGAACGGACTGGGCCTCACTAGCTTTGCCTTTCAATTCTGGGATATGTACACACCTAATGCGAAAGACATCATAAATGTATATATATATATACATTTACCCCGTAGGTACTTGGCTATGCACGTGTCATGCCTCTGTCACTCTGCTCGGCTCTCCTTCCCAAGCTATGATTCCAATGGGGCTGGTAGACGATAGATAAACACACTCAGGATGTGATGTTGAGCCTTCCGCTGGCCGCAGATGTGGTCGACCCTTTGACAGATGCCGCAAAAGTAGAAACTGATTGATGCTTTTGCTGGTCATCGTGCAGATGCCGACCCAGTAATATGTATTGCTAATGTACAGCACTTACGCTGTACTGTACTAGTCCGGCCTATTTTGTCTCAATCCAACAAGAAGCACACCAACACCCTGTCCCAGAATATCCCGATCCATATTCCATTCCCAGTGGAATATCTGGAATATCCCTTCCCTTTCCCTACCTGCCTATAATCCACCCACACATCACACACAACACATCTCCGTCCAAGAAAGATTCCCTCCTCACCACGCCAAATAAAGCTAACCTTTAGTCAAGAATCTCCCCTCTTTTTTTTTTTTCCTGGGGAAGGAGTTTTACCGCTACTCTCACATTATTTGTCTGTCCTATCTTGTCTTGTCTTGTCGTCTACCTCGACCTCTTAGTAATTCATGGGACTTCTCCATCAACCTCATCTCTTCTATTTTTAATAACCTTGGATCTTTGAAGAATACTCGGTACAATTCCATTACTAATAAACCCTATTTCAATTTTAAAGAAAACTATAAATTATATATATAAATATATATTCTCTATCTGAAGCTCCCGATTACGCTTATTATTATTATTATTATTATTATTATCACTACTCGGTCATCTAGTAAAGTAGGTACTGTAGTAATCAAGGTACCTCGCGGGCAGATCCCTCGGATCATCTACACTTTCTAGACCTCACTCCTCACTTCTACCATTCACTCACAACACAAGCTGCAGCCATTTTGATCTTGCTTGGAATCACTTACAATTCGACTGTGTATATTACTAATAAGTACTTTTATTATCGGCATCGGCATCGGCACGCAACATTACAAGTTCTGTTCTCAATTCCGAGCTATTACTGGAAACCAAGCAACCGTCAGAATCTCTGCGCATCATTATCGCAAGTCAATTATTCTCCACAGTAACGAAATAGAAGTCATAACCGATTCGATTCTAAACCCTCATCCTCGACAGCTTTATCGTCCATTCGCTGGCCAAGTTATTCATGCAATACTATTCGAATTGTCCCGCGCTGTTATCTGCTGCTCTCAGGCCAATCTGCTTGTCTCATATGCTATGAATATCGGCTCCACAATCCAATGTATGCGATACGTTTAGTGCATCTATGGAATTATGACCGAGAGCGCAGATACCTACTTTGATCCCGATGATGTTGGTCTGCCCAAAAGTCCATTGTTCAAGCCGTTGAATGTCAGTACCAGACCTTCTCCCCCCGAGATTTATCTTCCACCTGATATCAGTCCTGGATCCGGGCCAGGCGGTCGCAAAGGCGCCAAACAATCAAACAATTGGCCTTGTCCCGGTACTGCCGTGTTGATTCGGCATATGGCAGAAGGAAAACATCCAGACATTGAGCAGAGGGCTGGGAATGAGGCTTTACCTTCCGACGAGGACGAGGACAAGGGCGATGAAAGTCCCGTCAGAGGCACTGCCGTGGAAGTCCCCGGGCGTAATCTATCCCCTGGGCCAGCCGATTTTAAGAAAATGGCAGCCGATGCGGTTGATATATTGGATAGCAAGTATCCAGAGTATTTGAACGAGTCAGTAGGCTCCACTGGTGAAGCTGTCGCAGATTGTAAGGTACTCGCAAATGCCAATGCAAACGCACAAGCGCGGAGCCCTACAACCGCAATCAAATATACATACCATCCTGTTGATCCATATCCAAGGACTAAGATAGAAGTGAATATCAAAGTGGAAACTCAATCTACCCCGGCCATCGGTGAACTGCCACCTATGCGCCATGCTCCTCAGTCAGGCGCCTCAAATGGCAATGGAAGTCAACAGATTACATTACCATCCCTAAGTGAGCAATTTGGGAGTTTGGGAAATTTTGCAGAACCAATAACCACTCCAAATGAAACATCATACTCCCATTCTCCGGGAAGAACAATTTCACGATTCCCTCCTGGGCCTGGAGCAACGTCACCAGCTAGATCTCCGAATGATCCCCGTGGAGATATGGTATCTCCGGGGAGACAACCATATCAATTTATGACAAACAATCCCCGGAGAGCTTCACAATCAAATGGACCCCAAAATGTAGCTCCTGGGGATTATAGCAGCAGTAGCAATACTGAAACTCCAAGTACAGATCAATCTGGCTCGACTCCTGCCGCAGTGGCAATAGATCGTATGAGTATTGATGGTATTACGAATCCACAAGTGGGCGGTTATCAGTGCAATTATGCTGGCTGTACTGCAGCTCCTTTTCAAACACAGGTACGGCAAAGTTGGATAGATTCTCGCATGAAAAAAGAAAAACAACCCAACCCCAAGTGCTAATTAATACAACTGTAGTACTTGCTTAATTCTCATGCAAATGTACACTCCTCAAATCGACCGCACTACTGCACGGTCAAGGGATGCCCTCGAGCCGAAGGCGGAAAGGGTTTTAAACGAAAAAATGAAATGATCAGACATGGCCTCGTTCACGATTCCCCTGGCTACGTGTGTCCCTTCTGTCCGGAAAGAGAACACAGGTATCCTCGACCGGATAATCTCCAAAGGTACGTAGTTTTATTTACACATACACTATAGCTAAAGGAACTTCCTCACTCTGGAATAAACACATCCAGTCCCGACGCTTTGACGTTCTTTTTCTAACTTCTTATCTTCTCAATAGACACGTCAGGGTGCATCATACAGATAAAGATAAAGATGATCCGCAACTGAGAGAAGTACTCGCGCAAAGACCAGAGGGTCCTAGTAGAGGAAGACGGCGTAGAGGAGGTAGTCGATAGGTGATAGGAGGATTTATATTCATCGTAAAACGCTGTCTACATACGGGTCGGACATTCTCTCTCTCTCTCACGCACACACACACACACGGCAATGGTAGTCATAAAGCGGGTACTTTTTTTCTATCTATTTTTTCATTGGATTGGGAGGTCAGGTCAGGTCAGGTCAGGACAAGGGCGGGAACCGGCGGGGTGGGGGTGGGGAAGGGGATCTTTTTGATGAATTACGGGAAGCCGGAGCCGAAATCTTTTACGACTTTGTTTTTATGGATGGAGTTTGGAGTTTCAGTGTCGTCCGGAGCCATCTTTGATACCAGCAAAAAGGTTACTAACTACTCTTGTGAAGCCGAATCCAACCAAATCCCTTCACTTCACGTTCATAGGGATAAGGGGGTTGAAGTGAGTGGATGAATGAATAAATAGTCTTGTTCCATTCCCGTGTCTATATATACTATTTGCCTACTTTATCTTTATACTTAATGCAATTGGCAATCTTGTTGGGGAGGGGTGCTTTTGCTCTACTTGATATTTATGTTGACTTTGACACTGAACAGAACACCCGGAAAGGAAAAAAAAAAAGAGAATCGTGTGTCAAATTTCCCCTACAGTTAACCATCACCTGTCCCCCATACCCCAATAGAAACATGAGAATCACTCAACGCTTCCACGGAAATATCATCATAACCTAATCTTCCACCCAACCGCTCAACCACTACCCAAATCCCACCCTTCAGCATCATATCCGGGGAGATATCTCGATCCGAAGTACGGATGCCCGCAGGGGCATCGCTGAATTCTCCATCGCATGAAGATTCGAGGAGGGTTTTATTAGGTCCTTGACCTTGTTCGATGCTTAATCGTAGACCTGGTCGGGATTTGGATGGGATAGGTCGATTGACGCTATTTCCTGCTCTCGCGACGAATCTTAGACGTGTTAGACGGGTGACGGTTACCGGTGCTAGCATTCTGTCGATGCCTTCTTGGAAAATGAGGGTTGGTAGTCTCGTTACGAGACGACCGGCTGTTTCGGCGAGGACGGGCTGGATCTCACAGCGATGGGACGATTTGACGCGGAGGATGAAGTTTCCCGTCTCGCCGGCTTGGAAGGTGGAGCATACGATTGTGTATTTTCCCGCGGCGACGTTGCGTAGTTCGGCGAGGGCGCAGCCGCGTCGATAGTCGCCAGATCCGCCGACTATGTCGCGGGAGTTTATTACGGTGACGCGTTCGCCGTTGGCCCATATCATGGTTACGTGGACGGCGATGTCTTCTCTGTCGGCCTCGAGCACGAGCATCATGTCTGTCGGTTCTTGGACGGAAATGCTGAATTGAGGGTTCGAAGGGTAGGAGGGTGAGCTGGCGTTGCCGCCTGCTGTGCGGGTGGTCCAGGAACCGTTGTTGGAAGTGCTGAAGGTGAAGCTGTCGGGGGCGGAATGGATGTTGAGAGGAAAGCGGGAGAAGAAAGAAAATGAAAAGGAGTATTTTGGTAGTGGGAGATTCTGTTGGGCGGCTACGACAGTGTAAGGCGTGTTTGCGGGAAGTTCGAAACGAGCAAGAGTTTGGGGAGAATCAACGTAGGCGCCGCGGTGCAGAGCGCCATCGCTTAAGTAGACGCGGTGGCCGGAGGCGTCAAAGACGTAGAGACTGATGAAGCCGAGCGAACTTGACGCGATGCCTTGCGTGCTTGAACCTTGAGCAATATCGTGTTCTTCTGTGAGGAAATGTCGGCTAAGTAATACCCAAATAGTTTCTCCTCGAGCGGATTGGACAACGTATTGTGGATTTTGAGTAAATGTCCCGATGGTGTTGACATGCGGAATAGTCCAGGAGAAATGATGATCCTGTCTATAACGAAAAAGTCCAGGATTCCAATTGAGGTACAAGGATTCGAAATTTTGTATGACATCCTCTAAAGCCATCCAAAACGTACCTGGTTTTGTAGAGTTGTTCTGAGCCGCAGTCTCCTCGAGTGACTCCCGGAGGCCCTCTGTCCAAGTATTCCCTTCTGATTCTTCCCCGGCTGGTCTGCGTCTGGGTCCTTTCCAAGCCATGCCATCGCACCAAGGATTTTTGACAAGTAATAATCGTTGAGATCCAGGTTCTCTCATGTCTAGAATCGCGTAGTCATGCTCACCAACCAGGCCCAAATCAGCCTCCTCTTTTCTGCTCAGCTTTCCAGTTCCCAACGTAATCATGACATCACCGAACTCAAAAGACTTGAAGATACGTTTCCACAGCAACTCAGATTGAATCTCGTCACTTTGGCAAAGCCAACTCAGTCAGCATAGCTTACAATTCAGAAAAGCGTGTATAGTAGTACCTCTGTAAAAATATTTGCTCGGGGATCCATCCAGTCATTATCCATAAATCTGTGCCAGAGTTCGAGCCTGGAAAGTCATAGCCGCCTCGGACTTTCAGGTATGCTTTTTCTACCAATGCAGGCCATAGTAACACGGGATTGTTTCTATCGACAACATGAAGATTCCGTGCCGAGTTTGAAGCCGGCAGTCGATCGTCTATTGTTACTCTTCTATAGCAACCATTGAATTGAAGACGCAGAATATATTTTCCATTTTTTGATGACCTCGGCCTCTGATCCTTTACATCGAATGGACGCAGAATAGTAGCCAGTACCTATTAGAGATAGTTAGTAGCTTGAGGTATAGTTGACAGGAAATTTAAGATATACCTTGCTGTGACCCTTTCCAGCACGTGCCGTCGCTGCACAGAGACTCGCTACGACTGAACAATCCGTAGTTATGTCCTGGACAAGGTCAATGTCTTTAGACGCATTCATCAAAGCGTCTTCCACGTCTTGAGACCTTTGGAAAGGGGTATCATCCCTCTCGTGAGGCCTCTTCCAGCCTGCAAAGGTTTCAATTTGAGCCTCGGAAAGTTTTAGCTCCGAGGGATCTCTACCAGAGTCAGTAAAGCGCTAAATAAAAATCCACCCATCTTGTCCAACGTACGTATATGAGGATGTTTCAAATATTGTATCATCAGGCTCAGAGGTCCAACGTGGGAAAATGAATCCATGTAGTTTCGATCCCTCCAGTAAAATGATTTCTTCATGTTTACTTAAAGTTCGGTCGGACACTGGGGCGTCCGAGAAAATGGCAGATGGCTTCAAAGGCCAAGTAGATGACTTCTTGATCTCTTCTGCCTTCACCATCAATGCCTTGCACTTGCGCTTGATCCTTGCCTTTTCTGCATCCCCAGTTACCTGCTTCGATAACTTCATGTACAACTCAATAGCTGCGATAGCAACTTTTAGAGCATCCTCTCTAGTGCTGCATTTATCTATGCTTAACTCCGTTTGCTAGCCTCAATGTTAGGATGACATATTCCATCCATAGGAATGATGGGTTTTGACGTACGAGAGCTTTGGCTTCCATCATCGCTATGTCCAGTCCCCCAAAAGTGTATTAATGTAGAGACGAAACCGAACGGCATATGAATGGAAAAGTTAGAGAGCGATATATGTCAAGCCATATCTCCTAGCAATATCTGTTCGTCTGATATATGGCTTATCAGACTGCTATAGGAGACTGGAGATACTCAAAGTCGGAGAAAGAGGTGCACGGAAGATCAATCTGTGTCTTTACTTCAAGTAGTAGAGTTAAAATAACCATTCAAATGGCCGTCCCTTCCCCATCCGTTTTATTATATAGAGATGGTAAATCCACGTGATACCCAAGATCATCAATATACTGCGTGGGTTCGTTGGGATGTGATATGACAGAGTTCTTGGCATGGAGCAGTGGAATGATGATGGGATGGATAAGGAAATGCACGTTCCTTATGGCTAGAGAATATCCGAGCCGAGGTTTAAGATTGTCCCAAACTCCGACACTCATGCACGATAACCATGAAGCAAGAATATGTATTGTCAAGAATTCTACAATTCTATATTCCCTTATTTTGTATCGTTAAATACCTTGTGTCCTCCTAGTTATTGAAAACTCATATATGATATGAAAAGGACATTGCACTAAAACCATTCCTTTACCTAATAATACCCAGAATCCACATCCATTATTGCTTGTTCATTTGCTGCCCCTTGAAATTTTGAACTCAGTCATCCATATCTCTCCTATCTATCTAGAAGTAAAGCCCTTTCAGTATATCCTACATATCCAGTATGGCAGGACAATCGAAAGAAGCCATCATCCCGCCATGGGGTTTGGCAGTTGCTGGAGCTACAGGAGCTGTGATTGCAAATGCTATGGTATATCCCCTGGATATGTAAGTTTTGATCCCTGTTTGAGTGCACATTCGCAAGGCGGTATGTAATTGTTCGCTATTATATCTACGAACCACCAGTATCTCATAGCTAATATTGCAATTTTACCAGAGTGAAAACCCGCCTCCAAGTTCAGGTTAAGCGCAAGTCGACCGATTTAGTACCAACGGGTGATGACCCTGTCCATTATACGTCGACTTGGGATGCCATCTCCAAGATTGCTGCCGAAGATGGGATTGGTGGGCTTTATGCTGGTATCAATGGCGCCTTGATTGGAGTTGCTTCGACCAATTTTGCGTACTTCTACTGGTACTCAGTCGTTCGTACCTTATATCTCTCTTCTCAAAAATTAGCTACGCCCCCAAGTACCGCGATAGAATTATCCTTAGGGGCTGTTGCCGGAGCTATTGCTCAGGTCTTTACGATTCCTGTTGCAGTAGTTACTACTCGGCAACAAACACAAGCAAAGGGTGAGAGGAAAGGGATGGTAGATACAGCCCGTGATGTTATTAATAGCGAAGATGGTTGGACCGGACTTTGGAGAGGCCTCAAGGCCAGCTTAGTACTTGTAGTTAACCCTGCCATCACATATGGCGCATATCAAAGATTGAGAGAGGTTGTTTTCCCGGGGAAAGCAAATCTCAAACCCTGGGAAGCATTTGGTAAGTATGTTGGATCTAGGGAGAATTCTGAGAGCTAATTGTTGATAGTATTGGGGGCAATGTCCAAATCCCTTGCAACCATTGTAACTCAGCCTCTAATCGTTGCAAAAGTTGGACTTCAATCAAGGCCACCCCCTTCCCGAGAGGGCAAGCCGTTCAAGAGCTTCATCGAAGTAATGCAATTCATTATTCACAATGAAGGATTATTAGGTCTATTCAAAGGCATTGGTCCACAAATTACCAAAGGACTCATAGTTCAGGGCCTCCTCATGATGACAAAAGAAAGGTAAGCCCAATCAATGCCAATGTTTTTCGGGTCAGATTGATCCAGGCTAACACTTTTATAGAATGGAATTACTTTTCATTCTTCTCTTCCGATATCTTCGAAATATCAGATCAAAACAGCTGCAAAAGGCGGCCGATCTCGCAGCATCGACAGCCAAGCAAGTTCTACCAGTCATTGCCAAGTAAAATTGAAACGAATATAGAGCGGTAATGGTGGGAATCAAGTACATGGAAATTCCTTTCTGGTTTTGGGTACAGGAACTGTAAGAGGGCGCGATTTTGATCGGAGACTCGGAGTAGACATGATAGAACTTTGTACTGTACATATATTTTATAGCAAATACATACTTATCGATGCATCCAATACTCTCGACCATCCTGTACAAGAGCGCATTCATTAACGAAACTATTTCTGTATCCACTGGAGGATTCGCTCAAGGGTCAGAATTAAGAAAGCAGTAGGGCAGTAGGGCGAGCGGGTTTCCAGGGGGAAATCGAAGCTAGTTGAGTTATCACGTGTTTCCTCAAAATTTAGGCGAGCCACAAACATCATTTTGAAGGAAATTAATTTCCTCACTACGAAACGAAATCGACCACCTCAACAACCAACAGACTGCTAATTAACAACAGTCGCAATGGCGAGTATGTTAAGACCTTGATATCTGGAACTCTTGCATCCGTTATACTGATTTCCGCGCCTTTCAGAATCCAAGAACTCGTCCCAACATAACCAGTCGAAGAAGGCTCACCGTAACGGGTACGAACTCCCTACATTTTATCGCGATCAACCAGCGCAACCATTATCTACCTAAGATAATAATCAGTTTTCGATGAATGGAGGGCTAATTATTATCGATGCACAGTATCAAGAAGCCAAAGACCTCCAGATACCCATCCCTCAAGGGTACCGATCCTAAATTCAGAAGAAACCACAGACATGCTCTCCACGGCACAATGAAGGCTTTGGTTCGTCCTCCTTCCGGTGACCAGTTTCCGCCGCGTTCGAGTACTGACTATTGTTACAGAAGGAGTTGAAGGAGGGCAAACGGGAGTCCGCATGAACATGATAATTTATTCTCTCCATGGGGCTTGGTTGTGGCAGTAGTTGCATTCCAATATTTTGCTCTACAAGAAAGTGGAAGCAAGCCGCCGGTTTACACTGGGATTAGACACTGGGGGGCGATAGTACTATCCATTGAATCAACACAAGCTACACCATCCGACGTATCTCGAATTTCACTTTGAGGATAAGTGCAAAACGACCTTTTCATGAAACCAATATCCCAATATCCCATTCCCCATTTCCTACCTTAAATCCATTTCCTCAGAAACAATCATCAACACAGGCATTTGTGTGTACAGCTTTTAGAGCCATTTCTCTATGCTCTCTAGCTGAAAGGATATTTTCTTTTCGTGCCAAGATCAAACCCCAGACCCCTTCATTACCAAACACTTTTTCTCAATACTCTATGAGGCAATGGTGCATGACGAAGGGGTTACAAATTGTGGACATAGAATCTGGAGTCATAGTATCCTAGGATAGCTTCACTTATGAGATTACATATAAAGTATATTGGATATCCCGAGGGTTATGTAGATGTGTATCTTGCATTTCCACGAGCGAATGGATTTGTTGATATGACATTAGGTATTAATTCATCGATTATTATATTCTAAATCCGTATTAACAATGACCAAACACCGCTCAGGATCACCAGATGTTTGCTGTATGAAGTGCGAAGTGAATTGATTCATTGGAGACTCGGAGATACCCTCATTTCTTATACCTGGTAAAATTTTAGAAAGCAATTATCTATTATCTATTCTGGTGAATTCAAATGTGAATGTGAAAGCCATCTCTTCTTTATCCTTCATAGTGTTCTCCCGTTGCCTTTTCAACATTGTTCGATTTCCACTGTAGCATCCTCAGAGTCGTCCTCGTGTACATTCGGTTGTACCTCGTTTGGACATTATACTTTCAAAAGAGCTCATTGCTCCGCATCTCACCCACCTACCCATCTATCCAGTACCCGTAGTCATCCCACTCCGCCTGCAAAGGTGGTTCTCTCAATTGCGAACGTTATTCTCGCCCCCGCCTCTTTCATACGAGGAATGTTTAGTACCGAACAATAGACTACCAGTCCCTCAAAAACCTTGGTACACAAAACAGGTCTATCTACTCGTGTTAGATATCTATTTCATCTATTACCGATATTTACCTCTATGAAATAATCATAAAGCCAAGTCAAATTACCTTCTTTGTTCTTGAATGGAAAGTACTCGGTGCATTCACTATCAGCCAGTGACGATCGATACTTTTTGGACATTTGGAAATTGGGAACCAGTCCCAGTACCTAACCAGGGATCAATAAACCAGGGAAAGGTTTTTGGGCTCGAGTCATCTCCATATATGATATCTCCAGCCTCGATCTTTCCTGACTTTGAAGCTTTTGCTAGGTATCTACTCGAGTGTCAACCAGGAATCCAAAACCACCTAAACCTTGAAGAATCTCTCTCTATTGGTTCACCATCATCCACTTTCTAATCCACCTCAACTTACTTTACAAAATACACGAGCCTATCCTGTACATTTATTTTCTGCTCCTCAGCAGGTCCTGCAGGTAGCAAGCAAGCGTTGTCGGTATTTACACTGAAGCAGATCTTTCTAATTTTTGGGGTCGAGGCTTTTGCCTGGAAACTTGCAATCTTCCTCGCATTGACATTTATCGGATGTGTTTCACATTTCCCCCCGTTTCCTCCTAAAGCGAATCTCCAGTCTTTTCTACTCCAGCAGACAGCATATCATATAGCATACACCATCTGGTTCTCAAAGCAGCACTTGGAACAGTTATGCTCAATATGTCTGCCGGCCACGTAATAGGCAATCGCAACAGCACTCCTGTCGAGTCTACCAATACTTCATCACTACGGCCTCCATCTTCACGCGCTGTCGGCTCAGGTCATCACCTTCGAGCTTCTGCAGATATGGCCGCATTTTCAGGTTCACCCTCTGCCAGTCGTGGTCAAGCTAGGCCTTCATCAGATTTCTACGGTACTCAGCAAATCCAAAGTCAGGGCGTCTCTGACAATGATGCTTCTGACTCGATGGCTCAACAATGGATCGCCGACATTGATCAATATGAGAACACATTAGAAGAAATGGCAGCCGCAACTTTGGATCAAGACTTTAAGGATGAGTTGAGCGCAATAGAACAATGGTTCAGAGTTCTGAGTGAAGCCGAACGAACAGCTGCTCTGTATGCTCTACTGCAACAGACAACCCAAGTACAGATTCGTTTCTTCATACAAGTCCTACAGCAGATGGGCAAAGGTCATCCTATGTCCGGTGTATTGTCGCCCGCAAACTTCGATAAAGGTTCGTCTTAATATCTAGGCTTCACAAGTCTCGTGAGATTTATCTAATCAATTTTTTTTGCTTCAGACCCTATGTCAAGTCGACTCAACGATGCAATGAATAAAACAAATGTTGATGGCTCAAGAAATTCTATGGGTCGTCCTCCCGCTACTCCATCTACGAAGAGGCTCTCAGCGCTAGATCCATCTGTTATAAATAGCATGTTTCCAGATGCTGCTGCTGCCATCGCCACCAAAAAGGCAGAATATACCCAGAAAATGGGCAATCCTCCCACCTCAAACAGAAATAGCGCAGCATACGATAACCGTGCTTCCCTCACCGCACCTCTCATCTCTGGTCCCGGAGATTCGGCAGATAACAACGCACCTCCCGTCTCGCCTTGGGGATCTCGCAGTAATGATCAGGCAAACAGGCCCAAGTCATCTTCAGGACAAACACCAATGGGCCAGTTTATGCAGCCACCTCCCTCGGCTGGCGGCTTGCGCTCTCCCAGACCAAATCAAATTCAAGGATCATCTAACCTCCAAAATACTGTGATTAATGCTCCAGATAATACTGGCTCTGATATGCCACTACTTTCACCATATAATGCAGGGAATGGAAACTGGGCCTCGATGGTCAACACACCAATGGTTCCCAACTTCAATACGGCAAACAGCAACACTCAAGCTGATATGGTCGCAAACGCTACAGCCATGAAATTGGCGGCTCTTTCCACAGTTAATAATCGTTTTGCTTTGGATGATGTACGAAAGTACCGCCGTGCTAGGTCCAACGATGGCGGACAGATCCCACCTTCCCCTGGTCTCCCCAATAATATGCCCAACGCAAACGTTGTCATGATTAATGAACACGGTCAGATATTGAGTCGAGACCAGGTTCTAGGGCTTCAAGCTCAACAGCAGCATTCTTTCGGAGGTAGGCAGTCTAGACCAAGCTCCCCAGGAGTAGCCATGCAAGGTGGATTTGGTCAACTCAATTTCGCATCTCCACAAAATAACGGCTTCCTGACTGCGTACGATGGAGTTTCGCCCCTGCTCAACAATGGCATGGCCAACTTAAGTCTCAACGCATTTGGTATGAGCCAGCACGAAGGTTATCTTTCCGATCATAGTGAAATGGCTCGGGGCAGGTCGCCACGTGGAAGACGGGGTAGCTCAAAGCCTCCCGAGGATCCCACTGATCCTAGCCTTCTCCAGGATATTCCCAGCTGGCTGAGGAGTTTGAGATTGCACAAATATACCGATCAACTTAAGGATATGAATTGGACCGAACTTGTGGAACTAGATGATGAAGCGTTGGAGAAGAGGGGTGTCAACGCTCTTGGAGCGAGAAGAAAGATGCTCAAAGTCTTCGAGCAAGTAAAAGGTAGGAATCCCGTAGTTATTTCGAGAGTGAAGCTAACGTGATTTCAGCCGCAAGAGCGGAGGGCAAGCTCTCATAATTACTTCCACTCTTTCATTTCTTTCACGCGAATTACGCATAGCATGATTGTTTTGAGTTCTGAATTGTATTTGAATAGGGAAACACGCAAACACCGGTTTGGTCATTCATACGGTATAAAGATATGTGGATATGAATGGTGTTGGATTCATTTACAAGACATACACGCAGACAGCTTGGATCTTGAAATGCATAATTTAAGATCGTATCTTGACATAAGAGGAGTGGTGAAGTTCTTCTGAAATAGTGATAATCACGTAGGTGAAGATGAAAAGTAATCTTTTGTTGTATGATCTGTTGATTTATTCTTCTCACGCCTTTCATTCCATTGAATAATAACTCCTAGCTGTGCTGAAAGTCGGATAGATTGATATTTTTACCTTGGGCCTACTTACAAATGTGACCGACAAAGATTTACAAATTAGAAACAGGAGGATACGTTGAGTTTATCTAGCTCCTGAGCTGTCTGGGATAGCTCCTTGGACCTCAGCAAAGAGTACGAAAATACGAAATACGAAGTACGAAAGTACGAAAGTACGAAAAGTGCGAAAGCCACTAAAGCCACTAAAGATCATCTTATCGCCCATAACACATGAATCCCCGGTCAGAAAATGCTGATAAGATGGAACGTGCAGGCCTAGAACTCCTAAAATCACTGGAGTAAATCGAGTCAATAAAAGTTTAAACTATCCAGGACCATCCACGATGCTACTCTTCTTCCTCTTTTTATCTTTTTTTCCTCAACCAAATTCACTTTGCTTAAATAGCTAGTGTGATTGCATGTATCCATCGAATATGACATGATCGACGTCAAGAATCAAATTACATCCTTTCGTTCATTCGCAAATGATCAAGGGAGTACAACTTCAGATACGAATATCAATATACCTGCAATGGCCGACCATGCTTCCACGACAAGTGGTGGCAACAATGCCAATATGACTTCGCCTCCAACAAATATGCTGCGCCAAGATGAACAATCTAGCGTCGAACCATTCCCCTCTCTGGAGGAATCTTCCCCTCAAGGTCCATCAACTCCCTCGACCGAAGTCGAAGCTGAGGCTGAGGGGACTACTCGGAGTAAGAGGCGGTCAAGTACATTTAATAGTATTCGACGAGCTTCCAAAGTATTTGAGCAGTCGAATCCACCCACGGGATTTTGTATTGCGACAGGGCAAATCGCATCGCAGGTACCGTCGATAACCGATATCAGAAGAGGAAGTTTTGGAACAGAGGGCTCGTCGGGCGATAGACTGGTTCGAGAAAATCAACGACGGGCTAGTACTTCACGAAGCACTATTTCACAATTGGGAGATCAGGGGAAGAACAGCAGGAAGGGTTCAATGGGCATGAATACCTCTGATAATCTGCCATCCGCTACGGAAATCAGACATGATGTTCTCCCTGAAGCTGCAGAGGAAGAGGAACATTCCCGAGCGTCTTTTCAGGCGCATCGCGATCTGAAAGCCACTTCTATTTTGAAGAAACTTGACGTCGAGAACGATGTACTTGTCAAACCGATTTCGAATGTGCGGAGTAGCATTGGCACAAACGGTATATCTCACAACGCGAAGGCGGAAGATGGAAACAGAACAACCCCTTTTGATAATGGGTATCAATTTCCTCCCAAGCACTCGTGGACCGTATCGACAGCAATATTTTTCAAAGCATTCTGGAAGTTCTTCATCACCCCAGTGGGATTTCTCGTTACAGTTTATGGACTGAATGTTGTAGCTTGGGGCGGTATGCTCTTCTTGCTCTTATGCAACGCCTCTCCAGCCATGTGTCGTCCAAGTTGCAACGATATCAACTCCCCTCGACGCATCTGGATCGAAATCGATTCCCAAATCTTGAACGCTCTATTCTGTGTCACTGGATTTGGTACTATCCCCTGGAGATTTCGCGATCTCTATTACCTTCTCCAATACCGAATGGGTAAGAATGAAATTGGTCTTCGAAGACTTGCCGGGATCAATCGAGGTTGGTTTCGCCTCGCTGGCTCTCAGAACCTCTCTTCAGAACTAGGTCCCGCTCAGATTGTCAGCGAAGGCTCCAGTGTGCCGCAATCCTGCGTTGCATTTCCTCTCGATAAATCCCCCGATGCACCACTGACGGGTGTTCGCGCCCCTCCAACCGCCTTATGGAAACTCGATTTTGTCATTTGGACAATGGTATGGAATACGTTCCTCCAAGCCGTCCTCTCAGGTTTCATGTGGGGTCTCAATCGTTATGACCGTCCCTCATGGAGTACAGGTCTCTTTGTAGCACTAGCCTGTATTGTCGCTGCTTGTGGCGGTACCATGTCATTCATGGAAGCGAAAAAAGTCAAGGCGATAGAGGGTGTGCCGGTCAGTGATGCCGACCGGGAAAAACTGAGGAGGGATAGGGAGTTGGGAATAGTACATTTTAATAATATTAAAGATGAGATGCCGAAGGAGAAAGGGGGAAAGGAAAAGGGGAAGCGAGGAGCAAAGAAGAGTGAACAAAGTACGTCCGAGGAGACGAGACTGCAACAAAGTATCGAAGAGGGCGTTGCTCAAATTGTTAGATAGCATTTTTGTTTTAATTTATGTGATTTTACGCCTTGCTTGCATTGAATGTGAAAGAACCGTTTTTGCGCATTTATATCAGCGATATACAAAGTATTGGATTTGGATCTAGATAAAATTATAAGTGTTTTAACGGTGCTATGAGTTTATGATTATAGATATATAATGACAAATGATCATACGAAAAATGTTTTTCTATACTAGAAGTTATATATAATATATTATATACGTTGTAAATGATATAAAATAGTATAATATAATTAAAGTTGAAAATATATACATATATTTAATAATATTAAAATAAATCTCCTCCTATCTATACTCACCCACCCACTCCCTCCCCTTTTAAAATCTAGTCTAGATGAAAATTTCTACATTCTATTTTATTCTATTCTCTTCGTCTCTACTCAATCTCGAGAACTGAAAAACTAGACCCCGATAGCTAAATCATAAATAATAAATACTAGATAGGTATGATGGTAGTTGAGTGATAGTTGAGTGATGTGAACCCATATATTTATATATAGTTAGGTAATTTGATATATGTATATATATTTCAAAAAGAGAAATAAGATATAGGAGATGGGGGGGTTGGTTTCTGGTTGAAAGGTGAGATGGAAGAAGCATATTTGTTAATGTCTCATTCATAGCAAAAGCAAAATAGTATGATATAGAGCACGAGAGCATGAGAGGATAAGTAAGAAACTACATCGGTATATTTCCCTCCCTGCAACTCCTACGACTCCTGAGATTACTTCCATTTCGTTGATGCTAAAGGACTAATTGTAACTGGCATACTTTGCTACAAAACCTTGCTATATACACTGTTATCACTCTAATCACTCAAGCATTTTTGGTGATGGATATTCAATCACCCATTAACATCAAAATCAACATGTTAGAGCAAGATTGCTCAATTCCAAAATCGCAAGTGATATCTTTCAACCCGACATCTCCAGATCCTCACCTCCATTGCCTTTCCTCTGTTCAGCCGCTCTCGCCTTCGTCTTCTTTTTCGCTTCTTCAATCCACTCCTCGTATGCCTTAGGTCCTTCTTTCAACTTATCCCCTATCACACCCTTCAGTACTTCCCCCGCAAACCCCACAAAATTATGTCTCCGCAAGGCATTCTCAAACTGCCACTCATTTCTCTTCTGTTCCTCCCTCATCAACGACTCCACATCCCCCATTTCCCTTGCCCTCACTCTCAAATCTCTCACCATTGCTAGTAAATTAAACCGTATCTCAGTTGCCGGATATCGTGAAATTCTTCTCTGTAATACCGGTATGACTTTCTCTGGAAATTCCTCGATGGTAGAAGCTCCATGAGATATAGGTGCAGGTTGCAGACCATCAAGCTCATACAGTGTACCGTTGATAGATGTATATGCGATGAAATGATAAACATCTCCGTCTTCATCTCTAGAAGATCGTTGCGTCTCGTCAACAAACGGACTTGATTTCGCAAAACTGTTATGAACATCTCTGATTAACTCGCTATTACTGAGCGCCTCTCCTCTAAACTCTGCCGGAAATCCAGTCGTGAATTCTTTGAACTCGCGCAGCGGAACTCCAACATCTATCTCTCCATCTTTATTCAGAAGCACCGAGAGTAGAGCTTGGGTCCCACAGGCATTTTGTATAGTTTGCGCAGCGAAGAAAAGATTTTCCGCAGCAGAATAGTCGTAAGAGCCATCTTTGGGTGTGCCATCTTTGTTAGGAGCTTCTCCGACGGGATATTTGAACAGGAATATGACGCCGTAGACCGGGGAGAGTTGGCGCAAAAAGTCAGAGTCTAGGGAAATCAGTTCTTCGAATTGTACATCTTTGACGCCTAGATTATCGAGAAGAAATGTAAAGACACCCTATGCGGAGAAGAGATTAGCTGTTTGTTTGTCTCCAAATCGAAGTTCATGGGATGTATTTCTTACTGCGTCCGATTCAACTGGATAGAATTGTTAGTACCTATTTTTGGTATTGTACATATTTTATGCAAATATTTGAAGATGCAGAACTTACTGGTAGACCAGCCACCACTCATATTTGCTATAGTTAAATGTACAATGCTTGTGTTGAGAGAGAACGAGTTTTGAATTTGAGCTTCACGGATATTTGGAGCTCAAGCTTCTGAACTACTAGATAATCTTACCAGGTAGTTAAGCTTCAGGTACGATGGATTACGTCTGGCGCTAACCCCTCCACACGTGACAGCCTCTAGCCCAGCTCCATATTGCTTCCGGTGAGCTTCAATTGAACGGCAGAATATAAATGCGGTTGTTGGTTCATAAGTGAATGCACGTCATTAAGGCTGTAGATCTTTGGGTTTGCATGTTACCGAAGGTTCGATATTCAATATAGATGGATGAACTGGAAATCCTAATTTACCTTTTCCCAAAAGCTGACTGCATAGTAAGTCGTTGAGGAAGTAAGGATAGATGTAAGAGTAGATGTAAGGATATATGGAAGTATAGACATAAGGAGAGATGTTTAAATCTAGAGGAATCACACATCGTTCATTGCTTCCTCACTATCACTTCAAAAGCTAGAAAAGACCATGATTTATTTATTTTATTGATCAATTGATTGATTGAGGGATAGGTCAATTGACTAATTTCCTGGTAGATTATCTGATAGATTATCTAGATAAATTATTATTGCAACCCCAGATGTTTGCAAATCCAACCCAAATCCATTCCAATGCACATTGAACAAAATAGCCGCTATTCTTAACTATAACGCCCAACTGATTTTTGTAGCCATCCATGGCTATCCTTGAGTCCAAAAAGCTCAGCCCATTCAATAATTCCTCCCCTTTTCAAACGCAGTCCAAAAACGCCGCCCAATGCAATATGCTGTAATGGTATATAAAGGATCGTGGGTGCTGGTATTCGTACAAGAATGCATAGCAAAAGAAAATCGTTAAATTCGTGAATCGTTGGTCGGATATAAAGGAGAGTCGTTAGGATTGTGTAGTATTAAAAGCAATAATTAAAGAGATCCGTAAATGTGATCTCGTAATCTGATGAGTGCGCGCATAATCGCAAGTTCGAAAAGGAAATGAGGATAGTTTGATATTAAAGCTCGCGACCTTTCCCCTTGGGATCCGCCGGAGTAGTTTCGAATGAAGAGTGAGGTAAAGTTTGAGGATGAGAAGTATAAGGATGATACTGAGGGATATGCTGCATTTGTTGCTGCATATGGTGCGAAGTCTGAGGTTCAAATTTGACTGGGTCCACAGAAGACCTGGGCTCAAATTGAAAAGATGGTGTTGTGGTCCTGGTCGTAAATGTTAAATCGCCTTCGTTCGAGGTCTATATCCACACGGTCGGAAGCACAAACCCGCCGAAATTGGAGCCGGAGCCCTGCCCTTCATAAAGAGCGAAATCTTCCCCATGTTCGCTGTAGACAATAGAACCTTCCCCAAAATTCGAAGATGCCGGGCTATGATATCCCCCAAACCCGCTAGGCGATGGAATTCCCAAGTAGTGAGTCGCGTATGGATCGAGAGTCAATGGAGGAATGGCTGCAGCAGAGATTGGATCGGAAGGCATGGTCATGATATGTTCTTGGCTGTATGTGAAAGCCGGGTTCCCATATGGAGAGATGGTGTTAAAATTGTCCTCCATGCTATAGCTGTTGTGTGAGAATGTTGGGAATGATGCCGTACGTTCTGGCTGAACCCAACCCATGCGACTTCGGAATTTTGAAACCATATCAATGGGATACTCCATGAGGTGAAGAGGAGTTTGCATATTGGAATCAGAAGTTTGGGAAACATTGATCGAGAACAATCGGCGAGCGATTTCCTCAATGGGACCCAATGAAAGACTTCCGAAGTATGCTGCTCCAACTTCAGGGAAAAGAGGTTCCACGACCAAAGCAATGGTATAATAATGAGCAAGGATAACCAATGCCGAAGGAGATCCTCGTGTTTGCTGCAAAAACATTACCGGTAGCCAAAACAACCAAGCTCGAAGTGGATTGAGCATTTCGAATCGCTGAGCCGCGGTGTGGGATGGGGACACCTTCCGGACACCTCGAACAAAACTCATGAGCTGTTGGATAGCTTTGGTATCTTCGCCATTATTCTTGAGATGGACTTCCACCTTTTGAAGTTGAGCGTAAGCGCGTTGCAACGCGTCCAAGTCTTGCTTGCGCGGTTGACTAAGTTTTTTCTGGCCGGGTGCTGGAGATGGCGGCGCGGTTGGGAACGTACTTTGCTCTGCAATAAAATCGCCGAATTGAGATTCCATTTTCCATGGTTGCATAGCGTCGATGACCTATCAGATGTTAGTTGATGTTAACTATCAAAACCCTAAATTAATATTAAAGTCATACAGATGAAGTCCCATGCATCAGCTGGGTCCAACCACGCCTATGTGAAGATTAGCTTCATGTTCTGTTCAGAATATCTCCATCAATGACTTACCATTCCGTTGCTTGCCAGGAAAGGAGGAGAGAAGCACCCAAAACAGCATCTGAATTTTGTCTCGAAAATTCTCCGATAGCTTCGTGCAAGCCTTTGAGAGCAATACCACGATGTATGTATGCCATATTTGCCGTGAGGGGGCAGTCTGTCAACCAAGCTAAATGAGTGGCAGACAATGCAAGTAAAGCATGCATGACGAAAGGATAGCTCGAGCCAATCTTAAGCAAGCTAGGGTCTTGTTAGAATGTTCATCCTCCCTCCGCTCTATAAAGTACGTAAACTTACAGTGGAATTTGTCGAGTCCAGATGGTGAAATTGCCGGCATCATGGATACTGAGCTCACTGGAAACGGAAGCCACATGATGGATGAGACGGAGGTCTTCAAAAGTGAAATACTGAGGGTTGGGAGCCGGATAGATATACAGATCAGGGAAGGGGAAGTTCCCAGTCTGTTGCCAACGCTCGATATCTGCTTCGATTTCTGGGGTCCATAACAAGTCTGCTTTCTCGGGGGTTGCAGCTCGCTCCTCCTGTACTGGCATGTCCATGTATGGACAGCGGCAGTTGTGTTTCGTACAGTTTCGACTAATTTATTGTTAATATGGGAGCTTCGTGCCACTAGACAGCTATGCTTTCAGCGACATACCATTGAGGAAAGTTCTCATCGCAACGAATGTGTCTACGTTTGCAGGTTTCACAACCCTTTCGAGATTTGGTATGACTATTTCAAGTTCAGTATTTCTTCAGACATGTTGCGAGTAGTATATATCTTACCTCCTACGAGGGGGTCCACCTCCAGGTCCGGCCATTTTTAATAGGGCTTTGGTAAAAGAAGTTAAGAGTAAAGAATTGACGACGAAGGCTTGAACGAGTGAAAGCCAACGTCGAAACGGTTTAGAAGGTAAGGTCAATCAGAAATATAGAAAGCCAAGAAGTTTGAATGTTGCGTGAGAGAGGCAACAGATGGGAAGGCACTTGAGAAGGTTTGAAAGGTCTCCGAGGCTGCCGGATATATGTAAGCCCCACCGTCCTGAAAGCGAGTGTAATGGTAAGGCTGCAAGAGCCAGCCGGAACTAATATCCCCTTGAATGACAAAATAGCAAGAGTCAAAAGGCGCAGCGGCTGAACGTAACGTAACTGTATCTTGATGTCGAGTTGAGGTTGGACAGATTCTTTAGCAGCAAATAAGCATATAAGCTGGAAGTCTTTTGAAAATCCGAAGAGGCCAAAAGACAATCAGGCCTGATATAATCGTTACACGAAGAGTATTTATTGCGTAGCGATTGTGTGTGTTTGAGTTTTTCAACGAAGGTCTACTGTGAGTCAAGGCTGCGAAAGGAATTTCCTCCGAAGGCTTGCCTTTTAGATTTGGAGAGAATTAGGGCTGAGTGAGGACGACACAAAAAGCGAATGGAAGGAGCCAACGAGGGCTTCCTAAGGGTGATGCACACAAGCGAATGTGGGAGGGAGAAGCTGCAGCGAACGTGAGGGCTGAAGTGTGTTTGTTTTCTGGATGATCCTAATGCGAAAGGGAAATATCAGAATCATGATTTGGCTGGCGATGCCAGCATTCTAATAGCAAAGGCGTCCTGTGCCGGAAGTGTGGCAGAATTGACGAAATAGGTATAGCGCTCAGCACAGCCAAGGTACCCGGGATGCGGAGCGCTTGAAAGCCTGCATGTGTAGGGCAGGGTAGTGTGGTACGGAGTGTCTAGGATGATGATGACTTGGATTTGGGTATGGTCAGGGTGGATGAACGGTATGGTGGAGGTAGGAAGGGTAAGAGACTAAGATGACAAGTGTATGATTAGTGTATGGAAGTATTTTTTTGGGGGGGGGGGGGGGGGCTCAGGACTGAAATGGGCAACTTTAGGTCAGGTGGAGAGAAATCGATCGATTAATCATTACTAGTACTTCCCGTAGGTCAGGAAGAAAAACTTGAGAAGTAACTGGGTTATGGAAGCTGCAGTAGTTCCAAGGCACAGGTAGACAGTAAACAGACATTAGTAACATCTTCATTAGATCATTAGATCATTGCTTAGCAAAATGCATGCCATATTTTGCCATGCCATAGGATGGCTCCTGAGTCGACTATCTTGGCTATATCCATCCCATTCCGCTGGCTGTACCATCAATCATTTCTATTTTCATACCAAGGAGGGCAAACAAATGATCTTGGGTGCCACAAGGAGGAAGAGTCTGTGCCAACGTGTGGTCTTAGGTTGGCCGAGTTATAGTAATAGCATACATACATATATTTATTTTATAGATATGTGCTGTATATTATCAACAAATCGGGCAGGTTTCTTTTTACTAAGATAGATATAAAATGTGTAAAAAGGTCAATGGGGGCAGGGTAGCTAGTTACCGAAGACTGTAACTAATTCCAATAATAATGATCTTGTTTTGGGGGGCGGAACGGCCAAAACTTGATCATCACCATCATCATCATCAATCAATCAATCAACATCATCAACATCATCCATCCACGTGTTTTGATAGTTGGCTGGATTATTTTAACGTAGTATATAATACCATTACTACGATGGCAACATCACATTGACTGCGGATTTACCAGTGCTGTGAGGGAGGTATCAAACCCATCACCACATTTCGAACCAGGGGTGAATAGTAGGCTGAAGATCGAAAGTTCCTTGAATGATATTAATGACACAGTACCGAAGCAATGGGCACGTAAATATCTAGGGTTCGTTCTCAACTTCTCATACACAAGGCTCAGCGAGGGGTCCAAAACCAAAGTGTACAAGATTCGGACATTAGAAATGTCCATTTAGGTTTCACTTGGAAAAGTGGCAGGGCAAACAAGTAAGGAAAAAATAAAATAAAAATGGACAAAACAAAAGGAGAAACCTCGGATAAGAATGACCTATTCCGGTTTAACTCCCTCCGAGAGTTGATGTTTCTGTTTCTGTTTCTTACGGTTTCTTAGATCCTTAAGCTTCTCTTAAACACAGAGTCTCATCAGTCCAATCGCTATTTTGATCCTAAAACAAATCGTTACCATTCTTTCTTGCTTGCTCGCTGAAAATATCTAGTCAAAGCAGAAGAGGTCTGAATCTACCCTTCTCTACCCTCCTCTGCCCAAACCTAGAGACAACTAGCTACTCACCGCGTTCATGGTTCCACCTAGCTTTTCCGGAGAAACCAGAGAAGAAAAACTCTATTTTGCTGCGGATGTGCTAACTATGCTAGCCAAATCGCAAAGCCATCTATCCACTTACCTAATTTTGATATCAATTTCTGCGTGATAGTACATATGATGCTACGGTGCATAATTCCGATTCTAGGGAGGGCATGAGGTTAGTGGAGAGATGTTCCCATCTTTCTTGTCTTGAACAACGAACCAGCTTTCAGCGGCGTAGATCTTCTGATGCGGTCTTTGGAATAAGGTATAGCAAGGATTAAGGATTCTGGTGTGTAACTGTGTAATGGATGGAAAGGCGCAATGCATCTTGATCCAAAAATAAGTCTGTGAATATTTATGAACTATACACTTATACCTTTGCATCCACCCGTACATACCTACCACACACTACTGACTGACTCCCATGTGTCCGTGACAGCTAAATGATTCAATTTGGATTGTATAGCTGACATGGTATTGGATGCATTTCAAGCCCACACTGTCCGTTTGTGGATATTGTTGTGTTAGTGGTCGATATGCGAGTAGTGTCTACCCACCAACGGAAACCCGCCGTATTTTCGTAGGTTTCTTACCCTGGAAAAAGGATTGGCGTGCCATATTGTTGGCCATCACCTCCCTCCCTCAGAACGAATCAATATCCCTGATCAATGAAAAACAGATTCCATGATATACTCCGTAGATGTTGGCGAGTACCCACCATGGGCATAGGGCTCCAGCCTCCATTTTTCTTTGCTTGAACTTATGATGACGGGGATTTCGTTACATTGTGCTGGAGAACGGTTAATTATCTTAATTAGCCTACCTATATGATGGCATTGTAGTATTTTGGCTTTGCCTGAACCATGCTAAGAGGGAAAGCTTGTTGGTACAATATACTTTCGCCTGCCACCAACGGCATAATATGTAAAGTAGATTTACGGACAACAGTGATGTAAGTTTGCGAGCAAATGAAGCTAAAAGTAACGTTAGTGCAGTAATTGAATCTTTCGACCGAGGCAACTATTATAATCTTTTCCTCTTTTGTCCAACGTATCGTTCGCTATAGTCTTACCATACATCGGTTAGCCTCAAATTAATGTGCGATAATCAACGGCAAAGGCCTATAACAGCGAGACCGAAATGTGATGACATTTTGATCAGGCAGACTATAATATGATGTTGCTATACCGTGCTACACTGCGCTCACTTTGCAATGTGAATGCATGAATGTGGAGCGAGGCCTGATATCTGTCGATATCCCATCTATCCATTGCTTATTCGGGAACATCATCCATAACCCCCATCCATCATCCCACCCCATCACATCCTTCTGTCGCCTTTTTTGTCCTCACGTTCAATAGCTGGTTTGAGAGGCTATGGGCACAGTCAAATCATAGCAAGCCGGCTATGATGGCATTGTAACGCATCGACGCTCGCCCGCCGCTCAAGCCCAAACACCACTCTTCAAAGGAAGGATGTGGCCCTAAGGGTTCCTCGCACATACTCATTCGTCAATAACTGGTAACACGGGCGAACGACTCGGCCTCACACTAGACCATGAGCAGCATGACGGATTTAAAAATCGATATCTTACCAGCGTCGCATTGGTGAAATTTGAACCAAGCAGACAAACGAGCATTCCATTTCCAAATGTAGACAACCTAGTTTCCATTTTACAATTTCAGTCACACGTTTTCTCGTGTCCATTTTTGCATCACTATCCTGTCATGATGCAATGCTGAAAAAGGCCCTGAATGTAGGGTTGCGTCGCTTCTGGTGACAAACTGCCTGACTGAAACTGCCGGTGGCTGTGCAAAAACCACAAGAATGTTCATTCACAATCATCATAGTGGCATTATTGAATATTAAGTCCTTGTATCTCGAGATCTAAAATGCCCCTTTCATGTCCTATTCCGTTCTTGACACCGGACTCGGATATACACTCCCTACATTGCTACTCTGAGAACGATGCGAAGGTAGGTACCGTAGGTGGATGTATCAGTGTCAAGTGACCCAAATAGCAGAATAAGCAATGGACCAAACTGTCCCGATTAAAAGATATCTCACTCTGCCCTATGATTCAGACATGTCATCTCCTAGGTACGATCTCCAGGGTTACCACTCCATCGGGCTGTACATTCATGATTCCATATCCTGCACATCGAATATATACTCCATAGAAGAAGAACTAAAACTGACATTAACATCAACATCAACATCAACGCCAACCATATAAAATATCATGATGAGATTTTGGGGGGTCAACCCACTATGATCGGCCTCTAATTGACCTAAAATGATTAAATAGAGCTTGTTCTACAGTATTCCTTTCAAGTTTCCACTAGCCGGAGCACATCAGGCATGACCTCGGGTACCGTTGAGCTTCTGAGCACTGTTTGTCTCACTTGACAGGAGTTTAGATCCAACCCATAAGTTAGCGGCCGCAGCTGAAGGGATAAACCCCCTCCCTCGCCTGCGCGTTTTGATCTTTGCTCTGTATACGGTTTCAAACTCCTACGTTTACTCTTATAAATCACCATCATTGTTCTGAAAAAATGTCATAAACCCTAAAGCCCCTTTTTAACTCATGTTATTGGTTAACAATGTGCTCGCCAAGGACTAGGGTTCTAGCTTCACCGCCTAGCCACTTTATATGGATCGATATGGATTGGGATATAGGGTATCGGCTCTAAAAGGGGAGGGATTGGCTTACTCATGCATGCTGAGGATGAAGTCAAAACTCCAATCGTGTCCTCCTGAGTGGTGTCTCTATTGCCATTATGCTATGCAGATTATGTTTTGTGATAAAGATATTGATCATACTGTGCAAATTACTGTGGACGCCTCCCTCGTCAAATCCTATCTTCGCGTAACCAACACCACTAGGCTGCATAAAACCTACTGAGCGATTACTACATGGAGTAAATAGTAGAGCATCTGTACACTAGTCGTTGGGTACAATTACCACTGTAGTATCTGTGAAAGGTAAAAAAAAAATGTGCTCAAAAATCCCAATAACCTATTTTTAGCACACATTCTTTTTCTTCTAGAAGATCCGATGCCCTTTCTGTGCGGTGCTAGAGCATGCCGTGGTGTGCTGTACTGTGCTGTGGAAGAGAAGCGAACACACGAAAGTTTTGCATGCAACATTGAGATACTACGTAGTATGAAAATCGGACAACAGCTACAGCTACCGCAAGCTTAAGCGTGGAGAATACACTAATGACGCTGTACGTATGTATCTATTGATATAATAGTACATGCAGCTATATTTATAATCGGCTTTTTTCGTCAGATCAGGTCCGATCTTACTTGGCATAACCCCAATATAGTCTATCGGGTAGCCTCTTGCTTCCCAAATATTTTCTAGATGCATGACTTCGATGGCTTTATTTTACTGCGGTGCTCGAATTTTTGCTATTTAGTGATACACACCTGTAGATCCTCGGTCCTTCTCGAATAATAGCTTATTTACCTTCGGTATTTTCGGGACTCTTGTAGGAAATGTGATTGGGACGCGTGCGAGGCACTATGCTGTAAAGATGTTATCAATGCCTATACGCTGGAGGTAGTGGTCTAAATGATCAGGTCACTGTCTCGACTTCCAGGCTAAAGGTTTATAAGGTCAGCGCTCTTTTTATTGTAAAACTTACGATCATTGGTGTGTGATCTGAAAATTGATGTACGATATCGAATGATTTATCAATCTCATTAATTGGATTGAAGGGTGTAATATTATACCAAAGTAATTAAGAACTTTTTAAACTTTAATAAATAGTATTTTATATTTTTAATTTATAATTAAAATAAGTTTTTATCAGTCTTTATTAGTCAACTTTCATAACTAGAATCTATTTGATAAAATATATCAAAAGAAAATAAAAAGAAAATGTAAATTTATAAAAATATATTTTAATTAATTGATTGAAAAACTTTAAAAATTCAAAACTTTAAAAATTCAAAATTCAATTCTGTGATTTGTATGGTTTAAATTATTCCTATAGAAAATAATACATAGTTTAAATTATTCCAGTAGGAAATAATATATTTTGATCTTTTCTGATTTGATAGATAATGAAACCGGGTACCCGATATTTATCGGATTAATACTTTGGTGGCTGACATAAAGTTTTTCAGCATTTTCTTTCCCCCCCACTTTCCCCCAGTGTAGATGTGCTCGGCTGGTTTGCTGAACAGCACTCTTTTCAGAAAGGCCAAAAACTTACTACCGACGTCGATTTTGCCTTGTTATCCCTTGTTTATTTTCTCTATTATATGGGGCTAACGGCAACAGCACAACGCTACCGATACAAAATGAGGCGATTGTGGAGGCTTGGTTTGTCTCGGTTAGAATGGAAATCCACATGGTCGATATTTCTAAATGCGAATTGTGAACCAAGTCCCATGACCTTTCACTTTTTCTCGACGATCAGGATGCTAACAAAGCTTAATCCTGAACAAAATATGGGAAAGCTTCGAGGACATAGCATGTTTGCCACGCGAGTGGACCTCTAGTTAAAGACTTTTGGCGATAGAAATGGGGGTTTTGGGCAAGATTGACATCTTATGCACGTCAAATCTAAGCTCGGGGGAGAAGCTCGAACGATCATTCATGAGGTCTCATCTCGTAGGGCGAGCAGTTAGCAGTGAAGTAGATCCTCTAGACACCTGCTCGTTTTTCAACCAATACAAATTTATATTGTAAGTGCGGACTAGAGAAGCACCATAATTAAGCACATTGAAGGTTTAAAGCCTTGGACGTAAGGTTGGTTTCTTACCGGAGAAAGCTCTGATTGGGGAAAGGACATCCGGCTCCAAGTACCAATCCACAAAGCTGGACCCTGACTTTGCCGTGTTCAATGATTCAACCTGCTTTGGATGGATTTCTGCATCAATGACAGCATTTTGGGACCATCTGAAGAGGCTAATGAGCATGGTTACTCCTAGAGAAGTTGTCTTGCATATTTTTCACAGCCTGCGACGACCAATCAGGAGCTTGAAAAGCTCAGAATTCTATATGCAACTACCCCATGTAACTTAGACTCGGAGTGCCTGTTAATCGATTCCTTGCATTTCTCTCTCTTGGTATATCATGGCCATCCGAAGTTCCGATTACCTATTTGAGGATATTGCGGGCAAACGCGGTGAGAACAGAATGGAAGTCAAAGTCATGGGTAGCTATTGAGGGATTACCGAAACATGACAATGGTCAATACATCTGGGACCAGTCTATCCAGCATTTACACTGTTGGCCCGAAGTATTTACACTGAATAGCCGGTCGCAAGAAAGTGTTTAAGGACCAGTGTCAGTGGCCCTGTAAATGGGAACGGAAGAACAAAAAACTAACTTTTGGAACTTCTGTCCGAACAGGGGACAAAAGGTAAATCTTAAAGCCCTAAAAGGCCAAGCTTTTGATATCCAAGTAAACTTCGGTCTTGGCTTCTCTGAACAACAAGGGTATCTATCTAGTTGTTGATGGGGAGAAAGCCACGATATGCGTGAAGAAAATTGCTAAAAATAGACAGTGTACATTGACTGAATTAGGTTAATCTAATCGCTTCAACTTTGTACCGTTTACTCTATGATGGTATTTGAATTCGCCGATGGTATCTGGCATGAATCGTTGTCACAATCGCCGAACCTTTTGAAAGGGTTCGTGATATCGTCCCGAGATTTTTCCTGCAAATCCGATATGTGGAGTAGAAAAGCAACCCTAGATGCCGGGGACGCCGATGCTGATTCAATGGGCAGATAGGTGTTTCGGTCACCAATAGTGGATGTTAGAATCCCGCACCAAAAGACTCACCAAAATTGAGAGAATTATGATAGGTCTCAAAAATGTTGACTTCTGGCTGTTTCGCTAAACTGCATGTACGGAGTTTCGATGCCCACTGTTGGACGTCGACTCTTTCTTTCATAAAGGAAGAGACGAGCAAATCGTTCGTTGTGGCTGCATTATCATTTGCTACCGGCTCAAGCTTTCCTTCACTACTAGTCTACCAAACTTTAGACCAAGGCAGCAGGAATTGCTTCAAGTTAGGTAGTCTGCTAATGCAAACGGTTTAGACTATCACTATTACCACCAGCCGTCCGCCGCATCCCGCCTTCCTCACTAGAACCACCTTCCAGGCTGCACGAAGGAGGGGTGCGAAAAATGTAACTACACATGCAGAGCACCTTGTTAACTTTTACTACCCTATCCATACTTGCATGATCTAGGAATTGGCCTATGACGACAGGTAATACTCCAATGTGTGCTTCAATCGTTGTTACATCCGGTGCCATCGACTACTCGGACCGCATTGATGTTCATGTCATGTCGTTAGATAATTTATCAGTCGACTCGGCACCTTTCCAAGCAGCAGCTTCCGTTTCATGTCTTCCTCCATATTCATTTAATCCCTCCAGTAAGAAAAGTACGGACGAGTGAAAAGTATGCATATGCTGCAACAATAAGATGTTACTGGAAAGGCAAGGCCCAAGATCTGTGGCATGGCCTATCTACGGGCATACTTTTGCTGTAGAGCATCAAACATACAGGAAAGGGGAATACAAAAGAACTTTCGCGAAGAAAAGCAATAAAGATTGCGGGGTATGTTCATGTATGCTTTATCATTTATGTATCACCCAGCCCCCTCGATCCAATGTGGATAGGCGGTGAACGTATGTGATTCCCTTTCGCATGTATCACCGCAGTATGTGAACTCATTCCTATTGGAGGACGAATTGGAAGAATGATTAATGGTTTTAAATCCTGCAAGTATGCATTTGGTATGCTGGAGATCGAGATATGGAAGGGCAGAGTGTAGTGATCCGGTACGTTACCATGAACTGGGAGGATGCTCAGACTGCATTCATTCGATAACACAGCAGCAAACATCAAAAGTGTAACTTGTAGGTCTGACCATCCGTATCTCCAGTCAGATCCAGTCATGATTGGCCCCCTCAAAGTTACCGCAATTCCCAAACTTTCTCCAATAATCTACATATGCAAGTATCGCAGAAACCCTATTTGGTGCCACTCGGATCTCTTTACGGTCAACAACGCCCACATCATTCGATCATTCGATGGAAAGCGAGAAACTGCCCGATGAGGTAAAAGTTGCGATCCCCAACGCTTCTATCCGAGTTTGGTAGGATCAGAAAGAGGCATTTAAGCACGTCGTCTTAGTCATCGTTACCATTATTCAAGAATAATTTCTCCAAGGGGCTCGTCTCCTTGAACAACATATCCTAACTGTAGGACGGCAGCCTCGAAGCAAGCAAGGCTACAGTAAGAATTCTGAGTAGAGTTCTTACTGTTATTCGACGAGCCACCACGACTTCATGGTGTGTAAACATAGGGTGGCAGTAATTCAAATACTTTGACGGCGAAGTCGCTCAGGCGGTCTGGAATTGAAATTTTCACTGGTTTATTGTTCACAGCTATGAGTAATAATGAGGTAGTCGTCCAAAGATTCGAAAGCATTGAGACAGGAGGCGAGGCTGGATGGAGAAGGAATATACGCAGGCAGTAATCGGCCCATTGAGTCAGCATGCAAAAGACATTCTATATTACACATGCTACTGTCAGAGCTGGTTACAATCGAGCGAGGGGTTTACAATCACATTAAATGTTACAAGAGAACACCTTGTGTTCGGATACTATACCTAAACTGTGTTCTTGCAGATGGCATCTTGAGCTTCAAATGAGGCTTGAGTGAGTTTCCATCAAAAAAATCCCTCTTTATACATTTTAGCAGACCTTCAGGACCAGCAGGTAGATATCATTGTGTTAGTCAGTGAGGGATTCTTACATTAGATCCAATGGTATACTCGGAATCTACATCAACACGATTCGAACGAAGCTTTTCGATATTTGAATTGCTGTGAATCTTATGAAAGTGGTTGAAGCATTTCATTGGATATGTTCATTGAAATGAATCCAATGTGCCAATTGGTTTTATTGTTCGAAAAATTCCTCAGATCGTTTCAATGTCCCAAGTGACTTCAATATTCGCAACGATTCTAAATTATCAAAGACATACAATACATGAACTAATTTGATGAATAAGGCTCCCTCATTGTCCAAACATATTCCAAGACTATTAGAAACTCCTCCAAGCGTAAGTCAACTCACACGCCAGCCAAGATTCTTGCCAGCACCAGTTCTTCCATCATCAGAAATACATTTTACGCATTCATTTCCACCCTCTCTTGCTCGGGATCCAGCCACTTCTCATGTAGCAAGATTATTTCTTGTGCTAAGCTGGGCCTTGTTCAATAAGGGATACTATTGCATGGGTATTGTATGGCAGTTATTCAATTTTACCAAGGTAGTAAAAGTAGCTCTTAAGTAAGGTTAAGCAGCCTGATATTTACTATGCCTTCACCTATTTCCTCGGCACAAGATCCAAATAACCTCGCCGGGCATTCATAAGATGAGGAAATGAATACCAATTAGTTTTGAATATAAGATGCACTTCTAAGACAAATTGGAAGAACTTCACGACTGATCTAGAAGACTGTACGAGCTAGTGCTTCTTTACGTATATCAACTCATTTCTTTTCCAGCTTATTTCCACTTTGGCTCTTGATCTTCATCATCAATATCTAAATACTCCATTCCTTCTAATTCATTTCAATGTAGATCTCAAACTCTACACGAAATATTCAACCTGATCCCGGAGATTCAGAGTTCCTCGCCTATGGAATCTCCTCTACCATTCATCAAATCTGTACATAGTTCAACTAAATAACTAATCACCATCCAAAACTCCAAGTCCCACAACACAATACGAATCATCTAAACGCCCTACCATATCCTCGCTACAACATTAAGAACCAACCCAGCACACCCAACAGTCCACGTAATCACCCAGCACCTAGCACGCGCTCCCCCGACCCTACCCTACCCTAACCAAACCTACCCTCTCCTCTCCACCCCGAGAGCGAACAACCTCAAGATTCTCCTCGGCCAAAACACGCACGAATTCGAAACACGCTACACTCAACACCCGCCAAGTGGCGCACCGGACACCCCGATCCCCAGACAAGCGAACACGAGGTTTCCGCCAGGGGGACCAGCCAGCAGCTCCATTCCTCCACCACTACAAACCTAAGATCTACATTGAGAGCTCTCCACCTCTCCACCTATCCATCCATTCATCCATTTACCCAGAAAAATATGAAAAAATAAAACTCTATTTAAATTATGTGATCCATCCTTTTCCTATCTTCCGCTTAATTATACTTGCTGTATCGGCTTTTACCAATGCCCTGTTCAACAAACCGGTATTTCCCAAACCCTTATTTCCCAACTAAAGTATTCATTCCATTCATCACAATACAACCCCCTACCACGTAGTACAAACCTTCCCAAATCCACCCACCCGTCCACCCATCCACCCATCTCACACACCAACCAACCCCAAAGCGCCACCGACGTTCTTCTCCGAAACTAAGCTAACCAAAACCTAACCAAACCAAACCAAAGCTAATCCACTCCCACGATTCCATTGATTCCATCCCCTGAAACTCAAATTGCTTCCCTTCAAGTTTCCACCAATTCACCCCTTCTAAGTTCCATTCCAGAACAAGGCTCAAGCCCATTCTCAACGGTAATCTACAAACCTACTAACCTACAACTCTATTTGGGGATATTCTCCCTCCTTCCTGCTCCCTGCTCCCTGTCTTGACCTCGTTTCATACACACACATACAGGATCCACCATCCCTCCTTATTCTTCAGCCCCGTCTGCGGATCCACCATCCACCTACCTAGTATGTCAGGTGCTACTTTTACCCATTCACCGGGTCGGTTAGGGCACATCACATCACATCGCAGCGCAGCACATCATCATATCACTCACCCACCCACCCACTCACTCACTACTCAAACAAGATACCTACCTCCCTTTATCTCCTTTCCAGGACCTTTCCATAACCTTTCCACGACACCACCCACTCCAACATTAACCTCGCACCTCGCATCTCACACATCACAAAGCATCAGCATCAAAATACCACCGAAAACATCCCATCGATCTAATGTTTTTAAAAGTCTCTATACTACTATGTACGATCCATCATACCCACCCACCCATCCTTCCTTACTATATGCTATCTATCTACGGTATCTAACTAAGAATATGATATAACAAATCTCATCGCTATGCTTGCCCAAAAAAAGACTGCCACCCTGAAGCCCATGCCTTCAACCCTATTTTCATGTCCTTCACATCTTCATTCTTCATCAAGATGCTTTCACTTCTTTCTTCGGTCTTCACCCTACTAGGAATGATGAGGAAGTAGAAGATAAAAGAGGTATAAAAGATCAAGTATATCTATCTAAGTTCCTGCTCGCTGTTTCATCCACCCTATGATCATCGTCGTGCATGATGATAGATGCTAGCATCAGTCCATAACATCATACCTGTCCGCCACTTCAGGCCACCTATGCAAGCTGAACTGAAGAAAATAAGAAAAGAGAAAATTGATCCCTGTGCCATCCCTTTTGCCAGAATGTTGTATGCTATTTTCCTCTTGGGCCTCATGATTTCTGTTCATTCAACCCTTTCCCAAGCCACTAATCCTATTCGCTTTAATCATCACCATCCATGCGATAAGACGTAACCTTCCTAGCGTTAATCTCTTTTGTAAATACAAATGTTTCATACATGTTTTGCAAACAAGCTCCTGCATGCTTGCTGGTTGACTTTCTCTTTTCAACATCAAACGGCAAGTATTAGCTTGCTTATATCCTTATTCACTTCCTAGCCCGTGTATGCTAGCCTACCCATATTGTGAACATTTCAATTCCGAGATTGCAATATGCTTGGATTTTGCGAAATGAATCCGGGAGCCACCTTTGTTCATATCGATATTTATAGGTTTGTATGTCGATCTCAAACGCAGTGATGTTCGTGGAAAGAAATATTGCTTGCTGAGAAATGCATTGAAATCCCGAAATTAAACCTGTGTAAAAGGTCAAGTAACTTGCGACAGGAGACACAGATGTTAGCTACGTTTCAAAATTCCTTCAGGGGGGAAA